TCCCCTGACTTCTTTCTTTACAGCGACCGATGAGATGATGACTGGTGTATTGATGCCTCCGCGAAAAATTGGGGAAGTTGAGTTTGAGCAAACAATCATGAATTGATCGTTCAATCTTCAAGTACATTGACAACGAGCTATCCCACCTCATCAAGTCTATGTGTAATCCATTAGACTGCAAAAAAGAATCACAAAAAGTAGTTATTACATGTGTCTTCAAGTATTTCGACATTTTCTGAACGGAAAGTACGTTTTTTTAACAAACTGTAAGCTGCCTGTAAGCTACGTCCGGATAAGGACACCATCATATGCTCTTTCTGCTAAATAGGCCGTATTTCATCAACTTTTAGCAGGAATATAAGTAAAAAAAAGTGTGTAAAACAACGAAAAATGACCTAACCTTGACGTTTTTTTAGTAAATAACGCCAATATCCATCGGCTGATCAAATGACCTACGGCCGTCTACAGGCTGCCTTGTAAGGGCACGCATTTGAAATGAATCAAGCGCTATACAACATTGAACTACATTCGTGAGCCTCATTGGATAATTCGACATCGTTCGTGAATCTCATTGGATAATTCGCTGATTGGTAGTTAGTGGTGTCAAAAGATTAACTTCGCCGCCTCCCAGAAGCACAAAATTACTGAGAAATGAGGAAAACGAACAAACGAAGAATATGACAGTGGGTAGCGGCACGATCGGCTTACGGAGAGGCTGAGCACTTGAAGGTCACTTATGCACACTATGATTGGTAGATTTTCCTTTGCGTGAACGTTGGGGCTAATACGTATTGTATGTTACTGAGGCGGGCTTTGAGATTCCAGTAATAAAATCGGATAGACATTATGTTTTTTAGCTCAGGGAAACGAGTCAAAATGTGTATAAATTTCACAGATTTGACAAGAACCGAGTCCATTTACAAGAAGAATAATACTGTGTAAATTAATCAAAGAAGTATAAACTTTTAAAACTCGGTCTCTTTCAGTTGGTTGTAACGGATGGATTAGAGTCACTAGTATAATATTCGCTTTTTACAGAAAAGAAAGTGTGACAGATGATTTGAAAGTTCCATAATTCTTCAAATCTATCGTGGAATATAGGGACGACTAATCCATAGAATTTCACCAACTCTGTGGTTGTTCCCTCCCACGCACATACTCATTTTGCTTAAGATAAAGGATTGTTCACCGGAGGTTAGATTAATCACCTGATATGTATACATCCTAGTATATTTCTGAATACGGCGGAAAGTATTAGAAGGAAGACAATCTCAGTATCTAGAGCTGCTTCTAAAGTTCACATCCAGTTTCTCCGAACGGACCTGATGGAGATTAAAAACTGCATAGTCTGGTCCAACAACACTACCAACGCAGGTAAACTGTTGCGGATGTTGCAGATAGAAGGTTTAGTGGACTTTATGATGACTATGACGCAGCTATCCAATATCCAATATCGTTTTTACGAGCTGGTATAAACCAAGTTGATTTCTTTGTGCTCGCCACTTGATTGTGAGGTATAGGTTCCTGATCTTCGGTAAACTTCTGCGTAGCTCGTCCCGCTACTCGACTGTCGTAGCTTTGGTTGACTCCAAGGGTAATAGAGCTAGGATTGATTATATGTGATTTGTAGAAAGAGGTGTGTTAAAACTGTTATTACTGTGATCCTTTCACCAGTTAGTCCACTGTATCGCAGTCAAAAGAAAAAAATAATAATAGATATAACTAGTGGAGTTATTCAAACTTACAATCAGAAAAAGAAATAAGAAAACGTAACAACAGTCAGCCGATTAAATTTGAAGAATGTGAATAACATATATCTATTCTAACTAGTGATCAACTACTTGTCGAGAGGGTCCAGATCATGACTCCTCTAGGAAGTAGTGACCATGCAGTCATAGGTTTCCATCTCGTTCTCCGTGAGCACTTGCAGCGGGACAATATCTGTGTTATAGGAAGATGACTATGCTGAGATGTGCGGGCTTTTGTCCACTGCAGATTGGCCCTTAGAACGGGATCAGCTATCTGTGGATAAACACTGGGAGGTGGTAAAAAGATTATTCATACAGCTATCTCGGATACCGTCCCTTTAGTCACCGCAGAGTCAAAAAGAAAGTCATAATAGCTGAAGAGAGGCACGCAATGTATTCTGCAAGCAAAGCGGAACTCTTGGTTCATATGGCGTGTATCTAAGAGTCAGACCGACCATGATGCATACCTCGAACTCAGGAACCGGTACAAAATGGGAGCCAGGAGCGACAGGGGGTCATTTCAGGCTAACCTTGCAAAAATCTCCTAGCAAACCCCAAAAACTTGTATCGATTCATGTCGGAAAGAAAACCAATAAACCAGGGGTATGGACCTCAGTAGGCCCACACGGTCAATATCTCACTAGTCTGGAGATGGCTGAAACACTCAGTTTAGCCTTCGCCAAACAGCTAAACAGCAATGTGGGTATTGCCGTTACGGACCAAAATGGTGGCACTGCTATTTCACAGTAGGAAGAACTAGTGGCTACTCCCCAAATAAGCTCCGCCAAAGTACTAAGGAAGCTACAGAGACTCACAGGTTGTGACGTCATCAGACCATCTGTTCTGAAACAGTGCACCAATGCCCTCGGTAGGCCCCTGTGTGACTTGTTCCAACACTGGATGGATTCGGGGAAACTGCCAAGGGCCATCCTTTCTCCGATCTTCAAGGGTGGGGATAGGCAAAATTCCACTAGTTATAGACCAGTAGCTCTACTCCCAGTGGTATCAAAAGTACTGGAAAGTATTATTAACGATCACATCAGGGAGTACCTCGATAGGCCTAGTATATACCATGAGGCCCAATACGATTTCAGGAATGGCGGATCCTGTGTAACAAATCTACTATCAGCTTGGGACGATTTGACATCATGCTGGGATATGAATGTTCCAGTCCATGTGGTCTTCCTAGACTTTGAGAAGGAATTCGGCACTGTTCACCATGACCTCCTGCACAAAATATGCCAGGCAGGTATAGGTGAGCCACTTCTGTCATGGTTAAAGAACTACCTAGCTGACAGGCAATTTTGTACTAAGGACAATCGAGTCCGATCATCTTGTCACAGTTGGTCATCAGGAGTGTCTCAGGGTTCTATCCTGGGACTACTGATGTTTTTGATTTTTATCAATGATCTACCATGCCGTCTAAGCTGCCCGACTCTCCTATACTCTGACGTAAAGATATGGAGGGCGATAAAGTGTCCGGAGGACTCAGATAGGCTGCAGGAAGATCTAAAGCTTCTGTAAAACTGGGCGGTGGCTGGTGGCATGACTTTCAACCTGAAAAAGTGCAAAGTAGTGAACTTACTCACCTGTAGACTGCAGAATGCAAGTTACACGCTGTGCAATGAAAGCTTGTCCTGCACAACGTCGGAACGCGACTTAGGTCTAGTTCTAACAGAAAAAATGGACACAAGCGTAGATTACACGGGGGACGTAGAGAGGGCATATGTGGTCATACACTTTACACATAGACAGTTAGGTGAATCCACTCCTGAGCTCTTTTTAAGGTTGTCAGAATATACATCAGACCACACCTTGAAGTGCACAGTATTATTGCAGCCCCACTACTTAGAAGAAACGCCAGCCTCCTGGAAAGAGTTGAACGACGGGCAACAAAAGGAGTGGTTGGTCTCCGAAATAAACCATATGATGAAAGGCTGAAGAAATTAGGCCTGTACATACTAAGTTAGCGTCGTCTTAGTGGGGATTTAATTACTGCCTACAAAATAATGAATGGACAGAATCACCCAAACAAAGGTGTTCTGCGATTGAGTAGGTATAGGCTCCCTCGTGGTAATCCCAGAAAGATGGCTCACCAGATAGCAAGGAACCGGGTGTGCTCCCATTTCTTTTCACTGCGGGTTTGCCGTCCCTGGAATTCCTTACCGGCAGATGTAGCTACAGCAGCGTCTGTGGATGCATTTATGCGAAGGCTGAGCAATCATTGAGCTACACAAAGACTGCGTCCAAATGGTATATCCCCATAAATACCATACAGCATTTAGTGGCAGACAGATATCAAAGTCCGGGTCTAAACACACCGAACTTAACCATGTCTTCGGAAAAATTTTTGCAATAATTTGTAATAACCAACGCGAAAAACCAGAACACGGAGTAGCAACTGGAGAATCCTTTATTCTTGCGCCAATATGGAACCAACCATAAGGTTATTATACACAAGGTCTAATAAATGCCATAACAATTAATCACAATAATACTTCTGTGAGTATTTCTCCGTCTTCTAGGGAACAGCGAACGATGGAAGGATAACTGCAGTATCGGTTACTCCCGCCAAAATATGTAATTGGGTTTGAACAATGATCCACGCATCAGTCGTTCTTTCTTCAAGTATATTGACATCGAGTGATCTCATGCTTTTACTTCTTCATATTTTTTACGGTCTTACTGTCCTGACAAGCTTTTCTACACCTAATACTGTTATCATTATCCCGATAGATATTATTGATTTGTCTAGCATTAAAATTTTCTTTTTTTATTTTGACGACGATGAACGAGGACTTACTGGTGAAAGGATCAACTCCATTCACAGTTATAACAGTTTTAACATACGCCTTTCTACAAACCACACATTATTTATCCCAGCACAACTCCTCTCGTTGTCAACCAAGCCTCGTCAGACGAGTGGCGGGACGAGCTACGCAGAAGTGTACCGAAGATCAGGAACCTATACCCCACAATCAAGTGGCGAGCACAAAGAAATCAACTTGGTTTATACCATCTCGTAGAAACGATATAGGATATTTAATATGAATGATAAAATTTGTGATAGCCGAATGTTTAATCCGTCCCCAGATATATCCTAAGCTATCTAGGAGCTATGGTCAAGCTCACCAATACATGCAATATAACCAAGTGATTGTGAAGAAGTAGATTTTCGAAAGTCAATTTAGTTCATAAAACTTAGGAAAACGGTATTGAATTCTGTTTGTTTGTTCGTATCAATGTAGGAAGGCTTAATGTACTGTAAGTAACTGTTATCTTTTAATATTGGTAACTGTTTTTTGTAATCTGAGCACTATTTATAGTAGATAACTTTCTTATTTCTTTACGTGAGAGATGTCTTGATCTTATCTGCGCTAAAGCTCATGTGTACTTTCTGTTTTATACTTTGTCGGAACTTCATAAAAAAGTCTGTGTAACCAAACAGGATAGTAGAATTCTGGGTGACTCTAAACTGTAGTAGCCCTAAACGAAACTACATTCAGCGAGCAATCAGATTCGTAAGAATTAGAAGGGATTAATTTGCAATAAAAGTCTGTATAGAAGTAATTCAATGTCAAAAGTTTTACACAGAGTAATATTCGTGTATATGTTGCGAAACACCTTCTATTTTCTCACAGGAGTCCGCATAGTCACATTAAACCATTTTATGCCAGAACATTTGTTTAGGTCATCAATTTCTTCATTAGGTAGCTTTGTTTTGGGTGGCTACATATAAGAGTCACTGCATTCTCTAATTCATTTTCACAAATACTGAGTGTGAGCTCTCAGAGAGCTTGTTGATCTCTGGTTTTGTCAAAGTTTTATCGTTTTTTCTCAGATTCCCTCCGGTCAGCGTTTTATCAGAAAATTTCGAAATTTATGGTCTGTTAAAGTTGATGTCAATATTTGAAAGAATCCTGACTTAACTTTCTTGACAATACTCTAGGATTTACACAGATGTGTTCAGCCATGTGAGTGCTGTGCTATCTTTCAGTTCTCTCATATTTATTTGGCTTACAAATGACTTCCGAAATAGTTTTCATAGATATACTACGCGTGTAAATTTTTATTTTTCGTGTTTGCTCACATAGTGCATCTAAAATATTTAGAAGTGTATCATGTTTTCAGAATTTAATATGAACGACTTTCTATTGAAAGTTGACTCATATCCTAGAAGAGTTCAAAGAACTGATAAACGTACAATCCTTAGTCTTGTCGTGGAATTACATAAAAGAGGTAATTTCACTGTAAGAGGTGTCAAATGCTGATGTCACTAAGATTTAGGAAATAAATCAGGATATAAAATTTCCTATGTTCTACTGTCACATTTGTTAGAAAATACATGATAGTGAAAATGTCAGCTGTATCATCGTTAAGCGCTGTACTTCCTATGGGACATTTAGGTCTTGGAAAAAACTCCCAAAATTGGTCTAGACACCTGTTGACTTATTGGACGAGAAAATGAATTAGTACAAATACTTGCATAAACACCTAAATCTGGGTCCAAGATTTACACTTGTCGCCTGTATTTGCCATCTCCAGATGTCAGCTTGAAGTAAACCAAAGTGACCATCACAAGCTTTCCTAGGGTACTAAAATCTATAGAACATGAAGTAAAGGTACTGACGGTCTAAAAATTATAATTTTCCGTCCACTGGATAAACTATGATTTAGTGGTTAATTCGATGTGAAAAATTTATTGCCTGCAATAATGTAATGTTGAGAAACTACACTAATTCGGGTGATTTAATCAAACTCGTGTTCTTCTTTTCTGAATATAAGGATTTTTTGATTAACGTCTGTGCTATACAGTTAGCTTTTGTATGTGTGTGTCAGTAAAAGTTGTTTACTACTCCTGAAGTTGTTTCCAGCTTTTGGAAAATACACATAGCTATCTCTTTCCTTTTCGGTAGCAATATTATGTTAAGAGTATTTATTTAATTACCAGCGTTCATTTGTTTTTTGATTCTGTTATTTGAGTTCGTACTTGGTTTCTTGTATAATGTTCAGTTAACGTATATTTTTGGGCCTCACTAAGTAGTATGTGTGCAATTTTAGCAGCAAAACTCAGCATTATTCTCTTTAGCACAATTGCTGCAGTAGTTTTAAAACTCACGCAAGCACTACCGAGGGCTGAACGTCTACAACATAAAGTTGCTTTAAGATAATGTGAAAAGGATTTATGCAACATTATTTTATCAACGTCTGTGAATGATATAAATAAAAATTTTGAAATGCCTGTCTTAGGCGCAACTCTGGTGATTTAACTCCTACCTATTAAATTATGTCTTTACGGCTCAGACACAAACAAGAAAGTGCCTTTACTAGTTAGTAAAAGAGGAAACTAATACGGAGTTATTATCCAGGAACACAACTCCGAGTTTTCTTACTTTGACAGAGTAATGAATGCCATACATCTCACTAGTTCCCTAGCGAGATTAAAATCAACAATAATTGCAAAACAAAATACTATCTGATAATTGTGCAACTGGCTTAATGTTCTTTGATGTGTCAAATCAGATGATTATTTATCACTGAAGACAAACGAGGATGTAGACAAAATGTTTGTACTGCATATCTTTCTTCATTTTGCATAAAATTATGGAAAATAGTCCAAACAAATAGTGTAAATGGATATACTACCTTATTTATTATTCAAAAGGGTTTATCTTTAGTTTTAGTTAACTATGAAAAATCTTATCGCTTCCTGAACCTTATTCGTGTTGCCATAAATTCACACTACGCGCAGACAAAACATGAAATAGTAAGCATTTAAGCATATTGTGAATATTTCAATGAAGGGCATTTGTTGGTTAGAATAAGTACTACTTTTTGAGAGTTCTTGAATCTTGGATTCTTGAAGTGAGGCTTTCAATGATACACTAATCATTATTTTAAGCGAAACTTGAAAAGAAATATTTTAAGAATATACTATATTATTATTATTTTATTTATCCATAACTTCTACAATGTCTGTAATAGATAAAATTCAAACGCTCATAGTAAAGATGTCATGAAATTTTAAATGAAGTTAAAAGAGTCCATCAAACAAGAGGTGGAAAACTTTCGACTAATAATAAATCATATGAAATAACTTCATACAAGTGCTTGTTAGGCGTGTTATTTTGATAGTAGACAGATAAAAGGCTGCTCCTGAATGTTAAAGATGCATTTTTCTGGTAACTGTTATCACTCATGAAGCCTACGTGTAATATTTATTTGTAACTTTAGCCTGTGATGACTGAATGCCAGTAAACCAGAAAACAACGTAAGAAGAATAGAGGCCAGAAATTCGTATTCTGCAGGATTATTTTCACTGTGTGTTCATGATAAGTAGAAAAGAATAAAAATGAACATTTATACAGCACATTATTAGAAACAGTTAATCAATATACTTGCAGTCGGTCGACTTCATTAAACATTTGGTATCAAAATTACCCATGCAGACACTTTTAAGACGTTACTTCTGATCATTTATGTTATCAGCAATAGTACATAACTATTCAACAGATTTCACCCAAACCACTTGGGGTTAGACGGCCACAATGACCACCATACGGTGAAAGATTCACACAAGAGAACAATCTTTATTAAACTTTCAAATCAACTAATAATTCAATAAAATTTTTTAGGAAACCGGCATTACTAGACACTGACTGGTGAAAGAATTTGACTAGAAATTATCGGTCTTACACTTATTTCTTGTGGGTGACCATTCAAGAATTTTAAGACAATGAATTAGGATTTCATATCGGCATGCAGCCTAAAATGTTTGTTTATTTAAAGCAATATAATTTGACTTATTTAACTGTTGTGCTGTGTTTTATTGTTTAGTAATAAAAGTTTCAACATTTTTCAAACCGTAGGTAGATACAAACCAGAGAGTTCGAATAATTGCACTGCGATTATCTGAAGATACTGAACTAATCCTTTGCGAAATTAAGCAATAGTTTCATTCCAGTTTTGGTCTCTAGTTTAACATAATGAGATCACAGCATACTGAAAGTCAAACAGCATCAGTTAGACCGAATTACAGTGAAATACCGACACATACGTATGGAAGCAATGCATCGGTGATTTCTTCTCATATAATGGTTCCCAGTTATTCACAACAAAGGGTGCTACTGCAGGATCAGCAACAACAAAGATTTCCAATTTCCGGTTTCCAGAATCCTTCGAGTGTGATGCAGACTGGACCAGTAAGAAATACCCTATTAAATTCAAATCTGGTCTCACCAAACCAAGCATCGTTAGGATTTAAAAGGCTGTTAGCTGAAATGCGTATGTTGTGTGATATTTTGTTTCACAGAGGTCGTCAAATTTTTACAAAATATTCTACAGCTAAAGAAATTTTTATTAACTTATTAAGCACATATGAATAATTTAGTTTCCCAAACTCTTTCGACAAAGTTGGTATAACCTGGAAGTGGAACGTCCTTTAGTAAGACAAAAATTATAAATTTTGCCCGGTAAGATAAATTCAGCTGCATTTCACCACCGTATTAAAAAAGGTCCTCACTAATAAGACTGAATCATGAGTTCTGTGTGAAGAGATAAGCAAGAATCAAGCGTCTTCAGATTAAATCATTTCTCCATGGTGAAGCATATAAATAGCATTTGTGAATACATACTGCCTGCAGAATTGTAGCTTGGGAAAACAATAACAGGTGCGATAACTTTAAACCAGTGTGTTCATTCAGAGAGCTCGAAATTGCTCCTACTGTGTCGATAATACCCACTGCATGCTGACTCCATTCACCACCGCACATAATTATTTCTTTTCAGAGCGTAGGTTTTGCTTCTGAGACTTTAAAGAGCCTGTCATTCTTTTTGAGTGTTGTAGTATGTTGACTTTAAAGTACTTTTGGCCATAATCTGAGCCAAATGCTCTTAAGTAGCTATGTTTAGTTTTACAAAATTTAACAAGTAATGTAAATATCTAAAAAATAGTTTGTATTAATTCAATTATCCAATTTTTTCATTTATGATTGATACTAATTAACTATGCTCAATACAGAATGATGTATTTTGGGTAATTAACAAGGCATCATTACTTTTAAGGACAAAAATTGATCTCTGTCTAGCCATATATTCTAATTGTCCATTTTGATTTAGTTATGTCCTGTGGGTTGGTTGGTTTAATTGCGAAGCTTTCGTTGTCCTTCTAGACAACATTTTCAGTGCAGGTTTTAATATGAAAGATATAGCAAAAACATTAACAGCCCAGTATTAGACCACCTGGTCCGAACCGGCCATAAAGCTAGCATTGAAGATTCCTTTCCTATCGCCTATCAGGTACTGAATAAATTGCCTGAAGTATCCAGGTACCGAAGACTCCAAAGAGCAGATGTGATTGCAATCCTCCTAAAAAAACCGGTTGTTTTCGTGCAGAAGAAACAGCTCCAACTACTACTAATGTCCTGGCCTTCTTTCGAGCCAATAAATTCATGAATTTTCTATTATAATTTTCCCTAACTTGACTGATATTCAGTGAAGTGTTATGTTGTTGAATATTGTCATGCTCAAAGATGCTATTGATCTGTAATCTATTGATATTGTTGATATGGTGTTGCTTAAAAATTAATGTTGTTAATAACCCTAATTCTTTCATTATTACAGAAATTTAGCTACAGAAACTGATGAAAAAGTAACTGAAAAGAATATTCTTTGTTCAGTAATCAGTCTTTTGAAATGAATTAATTTGAATTCTCCGTGAATGATAAAAATTGTATCTCCTGACAGTCATTGTCGTGATTGGTTATTAAATGACAAATTAGAATTTGAGCAAAAAATATTCTTTACAATGATTTGCTCTTCCGGCTCTATACGGGATTAATGGTCTAGGAGCTAGCCTTGTTTTAATTTAAAACAATGACTAGTATTACTCATGTAATTCTCCTGAAAACACCTGTCAAATCGTTCACAGAAGATATTTAGTTCATTACGAAAAAATCACCATTTAGACATTCAGAAGGCAAAATGATTCAGTAGAGAGATATTTAATTTTAAATTAGCTTCTCTTTTATGGCTCTACTTTAATATTCGTAGCATTTTCAATACGATACAAATGATTTAATAACCCATTGGCGATAAGTTTGTTAACAATGATTAGTTGGTACTAACATGTTAAAGGTTTGATAAGTAACCAAACAATCAGTGCAGCAGTTCATCACAGCGCGGTCACTTCCCAATGTCTTCTTCAATGAGTTACTGCCCCACCTTCAACCTGCTGCACCCTATTGGTCACAGCTTTCCACTAGAACCCCACGTTAAGTGCCTGATGCTCACTAGTGACTGGCCCTATTGAGGCACTTAACGTGAGGTTCTAGTGGAAAGCCGTGACCAGTAGGGTGCAGCGGGTTGAAGGTGGGGCAGTAACTCATTGAAGAAGACATTGCAAAGTGGTCGCATTATGTCATGAATTGGCAAAAGTTATAATTCATGGGTTGGCAATTGGATTAGGTCCCAGTAACTTAATGGTCTACGAGCTCGCCCTGTAACCAGAAGGTCCTGCCTTCGAAACCCGTTGAGTGCGTATTTCTAAAGAGTCCAAAACCAGGACAAAACAGCTGTCCAGTACTCCCTGCAGGTTCTCTAACGAATGTCAGCTCATGATGAAACGCTGTAACTAATCACATACTTATCACTTTTTTTTTTAAATGTCGAAGACAATCGTAATTGACATTCTTAAGTTGGTTTATTCTGCAGTGAATTGTGAATCAGGCAACCTTCTTCCCAGTCGATTTTCTGTCTTAAAAATCCAATTAATGAAGCACGGAATAAATATGGCACTCATTCGTTGTTTAGAGGGAAAAAGTTGCTAACATAATGTCATTTGGTTCCTCCAGTTTATGTAAGTATGGTGATTTTATAATAATCTGAATGAATACTGATCTACCAAAGCCAATTAAGTCGTCCATCATTGAGGTGTACTATATTCTAGCTTCCGCTACCAGTAAAATAACATAATCATGCTGAGAGGTGACATTAACTATAAACAGCAGCATTACAATCATATTGGCTTAATATACAGATTTCTTTTAAACTATTGTGTGTCAAATTTTGGAGCAATGGATCATAGGTATTTGAACTAAGAACATGAATTAGTATCTACCCTATAGGCATCTTCATCTACTATTTTCTTAACATTATTGTTAAGGAATGCAAATGTTTAGAAACTTTTCAGTTTGTATTTGTGGAACTTGTTTTTTCCAGACTGATGGCAATGTTACTTTTGTGGCTGGTTTTTAAATACAGCCACACTGTGGTTATCATCGATGTGCTTCTAAACGACAAAACCTAAAATACGAGGTGAAAAGTAATTGGATAGATGCCTGAAGCCAAAGGTTACCATCAGTTACTCAATATTCATAGGAACAATATCTTAAGAGATGAATTTTGCAGACAAAATTAAACTGTAGGATCAAAACTAGAATAGGGGAATCAGAATCCAGATGTATCAAAAGTAGTTAAGAAGAGCTAGTAGTAGTTAAGTTCAATCTAACTACTTTGCTGTATTAATCTGATAGTCGAGAATCATGAACTCCATATGACATTCAGTTTTCGATGTTTATCTGAAATTGATGAAGCGATATTTTACCAAAACTTCCGTTTTAGAATGTTGTACTGTTGCTGACATTTCAAGTTTAGTTAGTGCTATGGGGATTCCAATAAATATCAAAGGGCAAACAGGTTTTGTAAATTATCAGGAAAGGAAGAAAACGCATATATTTTAGTTTTGGTGTTGATAAAGTCGTCAACTTCGTACAGAGGTGCCTTTGGCTCAAAAATTGTCTGATAGGTTTTATAGCTGGAAGAAAAGACACCGACATCATTTTGCATCATTAAGACAGTGTTTACTTTCTTTGTAACATGAGTGATGCTAACTTCAGTGAGTTCACTCCATTCCTACATTGAACTGAATATCAAGAACGAAACCATCTGTATCGGAGAGCACAATACGAAACATCCTATGTGATGATACTTATTAATATCTAAGTGTCGCAAGAGCGTAAATAAAATTGATGTTACACTATTGAAGTTAATCGATCCCAAGCTAAATTTTTATAACTAACTGACTTTTAAGACGATATCGGTGGAATTCATTTGGGAAGCATGAAATCATAAGTTTTTCTAGGAATGCAATTCAAATAATGCCATACATAATGCTTGATAACAGTAATTTTTATGAATTTTCCCTTAAATACGTAAAAATATTGTTGTACGTACATCCACTTACTGCTTATCAGTTTTATGAATTATCACGTTTTATTACTGTTATCAAATCAATAACGACTCATGTAGATGAGCATGAACTGGACAGAATTTAAGGTGACATCATTGCGTTCAAAAAAGGTTACTAGATTTTATGCACAGAATGAATAGCTTCATAAACACTTACCTGGTCTCGGTAACATACACCGATCAACCATAGTTTTTAAGTCAAACCAGCCAAATAGCAGACGAATGATGTTTACTAGAATGTAATGAATAAGAGGTGGCTATACTAACTCACTCTAATTCTTTTAAACTATTTACATCGGATTCTAAAATTGAAGTGAATCCGGAACATGGTGAACAGCACTCCAACGCGTCAGTTCGTAATAAAAAATGTTAACGTTTACTTAACAGAACTTTATTTTTGAAATGTGCTGCAGTCACACAGATATTTGACTGTACATTTTTAGGGAAGGAACAGTGTTAATGTATTGTTGAAAAATTTTATTAGCTTGTTAATAGTTAATTATCAAAGTTAATCGATGATTTGACACAATTAGGTGGAACACCAAATACTATGTCATGACTATGGGCTCAGTTATATTAGTTAAACTATTATTTCGGAGTCAGTCATGTTAGCAGAACATAGGAATTCAGCTAGATCTAGAATTAATAGCTATTATAGGGTAATTAATTTAGAAAAAATGCTCATTCATAGCTACGCATGCACTTGAAAATAATCGCACAGTCGGATGATACAAGATAAAAGTTCTGGAAAGTAATGTATTTAGACCAACAGAGATATTAATCACTGGATCTTTTTCATCTAGTGAACACTCAATAAATGCAGCAGAAGGGATACAGTACCAAGGAAAATGGTATTAAAAACCAGAGGAAGTAAGAGCTTTATTAAGCAAGTTAGGAAGTAGTGTGAATAAATTCATTTGATTATGTGCAATGAGTAGTAGGGCTCGGGATTTTGTCAAGTTGCTAATACAATACCATTGTTCTTTGCCAAATATGAAAATTTCGAATCCGTTTAGCATTTATAGGGGAGAAAGGATCCGCGAAAGGTGGCTGACATAATCTTAAGTAATCTAAACAAGTTTATTATCTACATTTGTGCGTAGGAACCAATTTACCAACTATGGTTAGCTAAAGTACCTATCATTCTTTATTATCGAATTTTCTGAGGCAGGCAGAGTAATTCCTGTGTTAGTTCAAAACTGGCATAACAATTTTTACCTACTTTTAGGCACGAAACATTTCGACTCCATTCGTTTTGCTGCCTATCGTACTGCAAGCAAACTTCGATTTATTCAACAACGAACATTATGTAAGTTGTGTTATTCATACATGGAGAAATTATTGTACCATTTATAATACTTATTATCAAATATTTATATCTCCTATATTTTGTAATCATACTCTCACATTTTCTGAGACAAAGCACACCACCGCTACATTATATTAATGAAGTCTGAATGGTTTCAAGATTCAATTTAGTTGAAAGTAGAGAATCTTTCAACCTAGTTCGTTTAAATAGACACTATATGACATCTCCTTTCTTATCTAAAAGTAAAATTTCCTAGAGAGTGTTCTCAACCTTTCAGTACCACTTTAATAAACCGAAAATATTCATTCAAACGTTTAGAAGAAAAAAAGTTTGAGCAAAGAATATTCTTTTCGATCATTTTCTCTTCCGGCTCTGCAGTGGTCTAGGAGCTAGACTTGTAAGCGAAAGGTCCTGGGTTAGGACCCCAGTGTCTGTTGAAGAGGTCCAAACTAGGACAAAACGGCTGTTCAGTACTTCCAGGTTTTCCAGCAGTTCTCTAACAGATGTCAGGTCATGATGAAGTCCTCAGAATGATTAAATGCCTGCCAACCAAGACTTGAATCTTGGTGTTTTTAAATAATATCCATGTGGCATGATCAATGAAATTACAGCCCAAGAAAGATGCATAAGTTATAATAGGTACAAAAAGTAAAAGTAAACAGAATACCAAGTAAAATTAAGGAAATCTCTACAAAAATTTAAGGGATACAAAACCTTGATAACCAAGGTAAGGGAAGCATCTGAACCTGTTTCTTTTGGATGCATAGATTAGGCTTCTTAAATGTAGATCCCAACAGCCTCAGCAATATGTAATAGCCGAACTCTTGCGTTGGAATTAAGATTAGTTGGTATACGGTAGATGACTTTGAAGGCCTTGTTTACATCAATTTTGTGTTCTGTATCCACAAGATGAGACATTATATAACTACGAATCAACTTTGATTCTTCTTTACTTAATCACGCAAGACGGTGTTCGGAAATCCGACGATAAACATATCGAGTTGCACTACCTATGTAACTGGCTCCACAGGGCAGTCATATTGGTAGGTGCACATAAAAGAAGCGAAATCAGTTTATCTTTAAATCCCGAACGCGAAATAGAGGTGGTTTTGAAGAGACAGCACACTCAGGCGTCATTAGACTCTCTTTTTACCACATTCCTTAGGCCCTGTGTTAAAATCTCACTGATTCTATCCTCGAGGAACTGAAGTTTAAGGACAAGGCTTTTTCGGAACTGTTGGTACTTTGGCTAGCCTTGACTTTTGATTCATATTCTTGTCAATGAATTTTTCTGGGTAACCGTTCTCACTCAGAAACTGTTTAATGATATTAGGTTCTTCATTAAGACATTCATCTGAGCAGATTGCTCTTGCTTTGTGGACCAAGCACTTTATTAAATTGCGTTTGTGTTTCAAAGGTATGAAGCCGAAAAAATGAGTATACTGACCCATCGATGTAGCTTTTCTGTATACACTCCTAATCGTGCCATCCTCTTTTCTGGTCATAAGGACGCGTAGGAATGAATTAATAGAGTCTCTTTCTTTCTCTCTATGGTAAAATTTATTACAGGATGAACATCGTTAAATCTGTGAAAGTTGTTCTTTGCTTCATCCTCATTTCTCACAGTCAAAAATGTATAATTGATGTAACGATAGTGGAATTCTAGTTCCATTATCAAATCTGTCAAATGCATACCTTGACCATGAAAATTTGAATTGTCTCTAATTCGTTGAAGAAATTTCGTTAATTTTATTTTATATTCTGTTAACTATTACATATTTATACTTGTCATTACTTGTGTTTCTAACCAATATCAACTCATGTTGAAATCTTGAAATAAGTGAAATTCCATGCAAACCAATATTGCATTATGAGTGTTTCTTGAACTGTTTTTTCATTGTTGTTGACAAATCGATATTATTTAAAAGGCCCAATATTTTTAATTGTTATTATTCTAGTATATTCTTTATATATATATATATATATATATTACTGTTTTGTCGGTAGTGGAAATTGTCGAAAAGAATGTTCTTTGGTCAAATGTTTGTTTGTCTTCTAAGTACAACTTAAATAAGAAACACTTTGTCAGCGTGATAACCTAAAATCTATCGAACTAGCTGAGACTCTTATACTGTTACTTACTGAATAATTATGTTATTTCCTACAATCTGTTATGGGTTCGGAATAACTTCCAACTGGTTAAAAATACTTTTTCATTTACTTAGTTTCTTCCGCTTTAATTGAATACAAAAAGTATGGATTCAAGAGAGTGTGAGAGGCGAAAAGTTCGTTGGTTTCTAAATAGTATATGAGTTCCTGAATAACTGACTGAATTGTTTGAAATTTAAATAATTTTAAATCACGATTTCTGACTATTACAGCAAACGATAACTTTGCGATTTTATATTGACTGTCTTAGAAAGTTTTTACCTCAATTTGGTGAGCTGCATTCATATTTAGGGGTCTGAAAATTTATGGATTAACATGTCTATTTTAATACTCTTTGTTTGCACTCATTATTGTATTTTTCTGAGTTTAAAACCTAATAACACAGTAAAGAATAACATTTTCTCAATATTGATACCAAAGAATAAAATAATAATATTAATAATCGGATAGTATCCATGATTTGTTTAATCGACAAGACATTTACCACTGGCATTAAAACTAGTTTCATGGTAGTAATGTAAAATTTAGTGAAGTTCGAAAAACTTGTTGGTCCTTCTCAGAGTACAAACGATTCACATAAGTTAAAACATTCATACAGGTGAAGACTGCAGCTTGAATCTGATTGTCAATCATTTACTTTACTGGTTTCATTATTGTGAAAACCCCACCTAAAAGAAAGGTTATCATAAATGTACTCAGCTTGAAGATATGTTTTTATTTTCATTGAGGAAGGAATGTTTTCGAATTTCAGGTTGAAAAGACTTTTGATGTTTGCTGGGAAGTTAGCAAAGTTTTTCCATTTCGATAAGACTAACTTTTGTAATTGTATGTTAGATGACTAGCGACCATAGTCTGTTCCCTCCATCTGGCTACATAGTACTGCAAATAGACATTCTTTCTCGGCGTTCAGCATAAAAAATCTGTTTGGCATTAGTGATAATCTATAGAAGAGATTTAAGTTTAAACGTAATACAATATAAGAACACAAAAAGACGGGAAATCGATAGAGTTAATGCAGTCATGGTCCAATATTTTGTGATGTCCATGAACAAACTATAAATTCAGCATTGTTTATACGCTTATATATATATATATATATATATATATATATATATATATATATAAGTCATGTATTGATCAAATCGCCACTCTACGGATCATCATTGAACAAAGCTTGGAATGGCAGTCACCTCTCTATCTCAACAGTTATACGACAATGCTGCATGCCAAGTAATTCACAACTGGAAACTTACGGAAGCCTTCGAAGTGAGCACAGGAGTGAGACAAGGCTGTCTATTATCGCCAATGATCTCCCTGATTGCAGTAGATTGGATAGTGCGACAGACAACGGGCAATGAGGAAACAGGCATAAAATGGACTGACACAAAAGACTTGGAGGATCCAGACTTCACCGATGATATATGTCTGATTTGACACAAACTGGAAGATATGCAAGTGAAAAGTAACAAGCTGGCAGAAGAAGCATCAAAGGTAGGACTTCAAGTGAACATAGATAAAACAGGTGATGAAGGTTCCTAGCCAACAGCAACAACAACAACAGACAACAATCAGCATAAGTGGGAGGAACCTGAAAGAAACAACCTCCCTCACCTACCTGGGAAGCATCGTTTCAACTACAGGCGGAGCTGACGAGGATATCAAAGCCAGAATCGGAAAAGCAAGACAGGCTTTCATTACCCTTAAGTCTGTGTGGTAGTCAAAATCACTCAACATCAAAAATACGATCCGGATTTTCAACTCCAATGTAAAGTCAGTGCTACTCACTAAACGGATCAGAGATTTGGCGCGTCATAAAGAGCATCTCCAACAAACTTCAGACCTTCGCTCAATACTCAAGATCAGATGGCCGGCCAGAAAAGATCAGAAACAGGGATCTCTGGCAATGAGCGAACTAACCAGGAACCGATTGTGAAACAAATAGGCAGGAAGAAATGGAGATGGATTGGCCATACTCTGAGGAAACCATCAAGTGACATCACTAGACAAGCCATCGCTCGAGTGGAAGCCGAAAGGGAAGCGGCGAGTTGGTCGTCAGTGCAAGGGTGACTTGAAGGACGTCATGTGAAGAGGAGATGAAAGCATGTGGGCAGACTTGGAGCGGGGTGAAAAAGTTGGCAGAAAACAGAAGGCAATGGATACGTGCAGCTGAAGTCCTATGTTCCTCTAGGAATTAAAGGAGATAATAATATATATAGTCTTTAGTTTGCTCAAATTTTACACTCCAGTAGCCATAGGTTTGTGCATAGATGAGTTATACCAGTGTAGATTTATTAAGTTATGAAGGATACAAATCACTCAGTGTACTAACAATACTATAAAATTTAAAAAATATTGGACAAGTTTTAAATATTTTCTGTACAGTTGATATATTTCGGTTAGGAAACAAAGACTAAATCTCAAGTATAAAATGACCTCACTCTACTTCACAAGTGTCATCGGCTGCAGCCTGTCGAATATTACAATGGTTATATATTCTATCAGTCAAGTTTACAATGTGGCCAGCATTCTAGGTGCTTGCCATCATGGTACACTTTGAATGGTTGATATTGGATGGTTGGAGGCAATCGGCAGGAGGCCTTGGACCAAGGTTTCGTGCTAGTTGGCACTTGTCGGCAAGGCGTATCTGCGACTTTGAAGGAACTCATTTCCCTTCTGAGATTCGAACCCACGTCACTCATTGCTGCATTTAATGAACTTACCACTTAGTTTTATTCAGTTGAATTAAGTTTTATTTAGATGGTATTTTTTCTAAAGGATATGATTTCATATTGCGTTCTTATGTTTTTATTCAGATGGCTCATTTAATATCTAGTTTTGTTTTCCTAGTTGTTGCTTGGTGTATAATGGTATGATGTAGGATTTATTTTAACTGGCTTTTGTGGTATTAAAATTTGAAATCGAAGCTAAAAGTCGGCTTTTTACCAACAGTTATCTTTTCTAGTTTATTACATTCAGTCTTACTTCATCCGTTCATGAAGCTTTGTGGTCGACCATTTTCTTTCAGACAATTCTGAAATAACATCTATTCACTGCCTAATTCATCAGCTGAACATATTCTTCTATCTCGACAGAACATCATCCTTAGAAGCCTTCATTTATCGTTGACTGCATCGAAGCTGCTAAAATGAGGTACAATGTGATATATTTTACTTCTTGAATGTCATTCTGGATCTAATAATAAATGGCACACTAAGCAGACTAATTTATTGCAAAGTAATGTCTTAACTTTAATTCAGTTTTAGATTTAGGATTAAATGGGCATCCTGGATTTCACTGCTAGTCACCATCCACCAAATGACTTCTTATTGTCATAACTGTTACTTTGAAGTCAATGATGCTTCTTCGCGGTACGTCTTAATAGACAGAAACAGCTGATTTGTTCTTCAGTATTTAGTGTAACTTTAGACTTGTTTCGAATGTCAAAAACTTTCTTCCAACTTAACGGTTTTCTGAAAATAAAATTATAGAGACATTTAGGATATAGAACTTTTAAGAAATGATGACCCAGGAAACACACTCCGTTTGTGCTCTTGTAATTTTTATGTCGATTTTAATTCACTATTTGAAACATATGAAAATGTTTCGATACTTCATCTTTTTATCCACAGTTAATGTTATGGATTTGTGGAAAGTAGTAGAAACGTTTCGAGAATTTGGTTTACATCAACTGAACGATCCTCAAGCGAGTCTGGATTATGCAAGCACATTCCGTTTGCTATCTCGCATATATTCGTATATTCCTTCAAGCATCTTGGATATTAATAATCATACTGATGACACACAGCCTGGTCATACAGTTGGGCCTTCCTTGATTAATGTAGCAGCTGAGATTCTCTTTGGTTGGCTTGTTTATGCCTTAGACTTATGCGCAACTGGTCGTTTCAATGTAAATGGTCTTAAAGTCGCCCTGTCAACGTTAACTTATGCGAGACCAGCTGACAAATTCAGATGTAAGCTAATTTTTATTTATAAGGCTGAAAAAGTATTTCATTCATTCTTTTTATTAAAAACAATACATATTTGTTCTCTTGACTAGTTAAATACATTAACCGATGTTGAAATAAAAGAAGCCCCTCGCAGACGCTATGGTAGGTTGCTGTTTCTTGTAGTGCCCGGTGGTGTGGTGTGACTTTTTGGATTGGTATTCCAAATGCAATTCGTTGCTCAAAAACATATCGAATGATTGCTATCAATTACATCAACTCATATTTAAGACCCTGTCTTCCGAACTCAGAAGGTTAAAATGAATTGAATATCATTTATATCAAACCAACAGGCTATCACCCTTAAAACCTCGAAGTAATAATAATACCTTCATTATAGATAAGATTTTATTTTGATAAATCACACAGTGTTAATCAGTTAATATTACTGTATAACACTGTGTAATTTATCAAAATAAAATCTTATCTCTAATGGAGTTATACTCTACCACAGTGCCCAAGTTTATACCTATATCAATATAATGCCTTGTTTTCTGTCATATAACTTGAAATCTTGCATGAATGACAGTTTTGGTGGTAACTTTCATTTGCCTTTTATTAATAGAATTTATCTCTGACTTGACATATTTCAGAAAATCATTCAGCCAACCTTTTTATCCACTATTATTGAGATGTTGGATAAATGTTTGGTCTCACAAAATTCGAAAATAGCCACAGTATATTTTCCAACAAATATAGGAAGCTGAGGTCCATTACGAAGTAACGTAAAATATGGAAAATCAAAACAAGTGATTCAGCGAAGAGACACTTTTCAACGAATTTATTATCAAGCTGTACAAATGAATATATATATATATATATATATATATATATATATGGTTTTTCAGAAGTTATATCTGATGAGGGAATTGAATCACAGGTGTGAATGCATAAAATAATAATAGTATGAAATGCAATTAAAATATTTGTGATTATAATCATAGTTTAATGTCAATTGGCAAAACGATTAATGGGATATATAGAATAATTCATAGGATGAATAGAACTTGGAAAGGGTGGGCAGATCGAATAAAATAAAAACGTTACGTGATATTGTGTGAAATTTGTTAACATAGAATTTAATGTTGCAAGAGAGAATTGATTTAGAATGACAAGTGAAATAATACCGGGGACAGTTCAACTTGAGAATAGTAATAGTAACAATTGACGTAATAAAGGAAGAGTGTACAAAAATGGAAAAATTGGTAGAGCCAAAATATGATTAGGGATTACCATACTTTAGCATAGAGGGATTAAGACCATGAAAGTTGGAGGGGTTGAACGAACTTTTTCTGTATACAGAGATTTGGCTTTTCTGTTTCGATAGCCAAAGCTTCAACAATACAGATGAGTCGGGTACGTAGGGATTTGGGTAAATTACTTTTTGCCTTGTAGATGACTTTGAAGGCGGAGGCTATAGAAATAGGGTGATTATTATCGACCAGATGTTCAATGATCGCGCTTCTTATTGTTCCACTTCTACCTTTTCGTAGCCATGCAGGAGAGTGTTCTTGCACCCTCCTGGACAAAATATTTGATAAACTCTAGTCACAGTGAATTCATAAATGTAAGGAAAATTGATAGCTTATTTCTATGTTGTGGAACGCGTTTGGAGTGTCCCTGGTACAACGGTAATGTCCGCCAAGCAGACGATAGTTGACACTGAATAGTTTGTTATGAGGTAATCAATATATTAAACAAATATCTTGAAACTTTAAGACATTTAGCCTGATGAAATCATATCATCATACATATGCCAATTTAACTTTTCCCCATTATATATTGTTTCCAGTATTTACAGTATGGCATATATTTATCAGCAGGGAAATTCATACTGCTGATATCCGGAGTATGTGGCTGTTACTCCAGTAGGTGTCTTCCACTCATGCGAGTTTCTCAGCTTACTATTTATTTTTGTTTTCTTGCTATTTCTCTCTGTTTAATCCACAGGGATGAATTTTGGCTGTTCCTACAGTTACAGTCTAATAATAAATCTATTGTTGATAGTGTCTATCCATGAAAAAGGGTTAATGGTTATCTGTAATGTTACATACACACATGAGTAAGATGAATGTCTGAAAATAGCACTCTAAGTTTTGTAGTTCTCTAACCTTTGACTACATTTATAAGAATAATTACTCTTACATAAGATATCTTATGGAATTTAATTTTAGTCACGTTTTTTGATAAAGCACTTAGTAGTGTAGTATCACTTAGCATAATCGTAAGAAAGAGATCGGATCTGAAAAGTTATTCAGGAAAATACAGTGTCTCTTTGCATTTTATTGAAGAAGTACACATAATGTGTAGTTAAATGACACCATAATACATATTGTTTTATTTCATATTGTATTGAACTTGTAACAAGTACTCTGAAAGTGTTCTCAGTTACTCAACCAAGCGCGACACTATGAATCTGTATTTTGTTCTATAACAACTTATATGGATGAAGCCGTTCTTATTATGATTATGCACTATCAAATTACTATATTGCATATTCAGTTCAAAAGGAAAAGTTTTTAAAACACTGTCAATGTGGTATCTGCATTTCGGAGAAATTATCAGAATAAATTAAATTACTGGCAATTTAATTTCACTTAGCGTTGCTTCCCTATTAGTCTGAGTATTCAAATATCAGATGTAAAAACATCCACATTTTAAATATTTTATTGTGAAAATTAATTTAACTTGTTTGAACTACTATTTCCTTTTTGATTTTAGATCATTTCACTCTCCTGTCAGATCCATCTGGTGCTTTAGTCTTTTCAAAGTTTGAAGCCTATTTACAGGATTTGTTAAAGTTGCCAATAAGTGTTTTTGAAGGACTAAATTTTTATCACACATTACAAGCTACGCATACAATGTTCACTGGAGTAAGTTGTTAATATGCTTTCCTCCATTGATATCTCCACAATAGTTAATTATGATTTCAGCTATTGAAAACGGATAACAGTGTTTATTTTCACTGTATTCCTCTTATGGTGATACGATTTCATTATTATCTCAATTATCAAAAGAATAATTTTAGTTAGTATATTTTGGTTTCCAAATATAAATTATTTAAAATTATTTATCTTCATACTTGGCTTTTATGAATTTTAATGGAGAAGTTAATAAGGATTCTGTTGAACATTTTGTATTTAACTGAATTATTATTAGCTGTGCAAAAGGGAATTGATACAGAATACAAATAAATTCTTGCCTGAAAGTGAAATATAAGTTTCATGATGAAAACTCGAACCATCTATTAAATGCCTAACCTCAAAGCTTAATTATTTCATTATAAACCAAACAGTGATAGTGCAGTTTTGTGTTTTTATTTACTAGTTTTCATTCATCTGATATGTTTACTCTGACAATCTACAAAATAAGATGTCATGTTTTGGGATCACATCTAATAAACCAACATCAGTCAGTAGGAATCCCCAGGATATTGGTGGTAATGTAGTCATTTTCATTTTGCCCATTCTCCAAAAAGTAGCAGAATTTCTATCACTAGATCACTGAACCTTTCTTGATGTCAAACTGTGAATTGGTAGCATTTATAATTATTTAAGATATTTGATAGTGTCTTAGAAGTCGCACTTATTATTACCGCAGCTAGTAGTTAAGAGGTTGTTGCTTCTTCTAGCTGGAGAAGTGAGATGAAAGGAGGGAAAGGTTTCTTATTAGTTGTTTCCAGTAGTTTATTGATACAGATAACTTCAAAGCATGCTTACGTTGTGGAACCCACTCCAATGGAAAACCTATAAACCACAAAAGTAATAATTCTATGTGACCTTATTACTGTATTTTTGAAAATATAATAGGATCTAGATTACGAATGTTTCGCCATTAAAGTTTGTGGTCTTCGTTTTTGCTAATTGCTTAATTAGACGACATTTCATTCACCGCATCATTAATGTTTGTTTTGTTCGTACCATATAATGTTTGTTTCTCAATTGTTTAAAACTACTTTCACTGTACATTGCAGTTTTATGATCATTCTTCTTTTTTTCGAAAGCGTTCAAAAAATGTGGTTCTAGAGGAATTTTTGGATCGTATGCTATCTGATCAAGGGCCACAAGTATTAGTTTGGCTTACAGTTTTCCATCGGTTATCCAGTGTGGAGAATGGTAAGCGCCTCTTTTTTAGAACTAAGTTTTAGCAATAAAATGTTTCTGCATCATAAATGAACCAGTTGAATTTAAATGGTTTTCAGTATTATGTACTCGTCGACATTTGTTTACGACATCTATGCGTTTTGTGGCCCGTTCAACTGACTGGGCTACCTAGATGTATCATGTTTACTCCATTTCATACGGTTTCAATCACATAATTGTCCAAGAATCGCAAAGTATACTCAGACACCTTTCCAAATAGGAATCAATGTATTACTATGAATTTTCTGACGGTAATAGAAGAGACGTTTTAGATTATTGGGGCATACCCCGAATAAAACAATAAAGCATAAGCTGATTTATAATCGTTTATTATATCAGTTGAAGATTTAGCACAAGGAGTAAATACCATCTATAAGAATCTTGTGCGTCGGTGGTATAACGGTTAGGACGCTCGCCGACCATGCACATGGTCCGGGGTTCGATCCCTGGCTGACACACTCCTTTACCTCGCTAATCTAGAAATAATGCTGGTAATGAGGAAAGGTTGGGCATGAGGCTAGCAACTTCATCCTGTAAAATAAACACTGCTACAGAAACTTCAAGCCAATAGCTTGGAGCCCTATGTTCCACTGGGGAACGTAAAGGAAAAAAATAAGAATCTTGCTGAAGATTCTGTAAAGTGTATTTACTTAATTTTCGGAATAAACTATTCTTGTTATCCTCTCCAGAGAACAGGTCGAAATGCTTATATCTATACTTATATGATATGATTTTATTACAAATGACTTATAAATAAGTATGTAAATCGCTTTTAAATTATCAAGTTGTGCCAAAATGTCAAATGGAACTCTTAGTTGTGCTATAGGAAAGTATACTTTGTCAGATTATATTGCCGTTTTAATATTGAGTAGTAATTATTAAAGTCTTTGCTATATAACAATTACAAGGTAAAAAGTTGTAGACATATTATCCTGCGTTCTTTTTGCGACAATCCTATATTTATATGAAATGCATATCTATACAGTAGGCTATGAATAACGCACAGGATGCACACATTTTGACCGCTTATATTCACTAAAATAAAATTCACAGCTATGGATTTGTTATTTACATTTTTAAATAAAGTGAACTTGATATTACTCCTATTTTCTCAGTATATTTTTATTCTACGAATGCAGTTTTTGTAAATATATACGGACCATTATGTTGTTTTTCCCCAAAGATATTTAAAATCAAGTTACATATAAATGCCGAAGTCAACAGATCTCTAATGAGATCTAGCTTAAGATGTTTTTTATTGTAATTAGGCACTTATTATACACAAGGTCTAAAACTCTACATCGTTTTATCAAGATACAAAAAAGTATTACATATAACATCCTAAAGTATATGCAATATATCTTAATAGCAGTCAGAGTTATTATAAAACAGAAAGAGATTATTCTCATTATAGTATGCAGACACAACTAGAGCTGTGTTAAATTTAGTTAGTTTATTTGTGTTAAATACTTAATAAAAATAAGTCGGGAATTGGTTTGAAGTTTTTTAATTTATGTATTACATTATTGTCAAGTAACCATGATTTCACTTGCATTAGAAAAGCCTCAGCAATAACCAAAATGGTTTTTATTTCTTATGACAAATGACTAGAATGCACAGAATGACTGAGTAATAATCCTTCGATGAATAATCCACTGCGCATTAAGGTTATGTACTAGTAGACGCGAGAAGATATTCCTACTTCCTTTTATGATCTCCTGACCCGTGATAAATCATCAGACAATGTTTAAAAAAAATTAGCAATATTTTTCTCTTTTACTAATATATATGACCGTCAGGTATTGTGTACTAAAGTATGTGCATTTTACCTTCATACAGTTATTCTTTGTTCTGTCAAAGAAATTGAACATAAAGCTTCTGAGCTCACTTTAAAAGTTAAATTTCCCCACTTACAGTGTATCGTTTATTTGAATCTGGGCTATATCAGTAAAACTAGATATAAAAGCAGAACACATTAGTATTTGGTAGCAGAAATGATAAAATGACGCATAGTCATGGTAAAAGATGAAAACGCTACAGTGAAAGCTTAGCTAGCAAAATTTATTTATATTCTGCCTCTTTTGTTTCCATTTTATGCTTTCTATATTGCTTTGTTATCGTCTTGATTCTTCCTGTTTCAAACTTAACCCATCACTTCGCTATTGAAGATTCTTCCAGAAGGTGTTATCAATATAGCACTTCTCAGTCCTTGTCAGTAGCAAATGACATATGGAAAATTACTCTGAAACAAAGAAAAAAGTTGGGATATGAATATTTTGTTTGAAATGAAGTTGAAGTGAAATAAAATATTTATAATTCATTTCATATATACTTGTGTAGTCACTGAAAGCTTGATTTTGTAGTCTTCCAACTATCTGGCTGTATTTGTTATACTTCATTGTCACTGTTTCAGAAATAAAATCAAAGGCTTGATCGACAAAAGAAATATGAGGCCCTGCTACCACTGCGAAATGCACAATGCATGCAAAAGAAGTCGAGGACTGGCGGAGAGGGGGGGGACACACTTCAAATGCGTATATAATTTCATGCATGGTGATCATAAGGTGTTTTGCTAAGTACATTTTTCGAAGATTACGTGGCGAACTTGGCGGATTTCCAATGAGAAATCCAACTAGGAAGTTAAAACAAATTTTATTGGGTGGAATTAGTGCTATATTGCGAAATACACTTATTATTAAAATTAGATTTTGATGACAATAATGTTTACCACACAGTACTTACTGCTGAGCGACCGAAGTTTCATACACTAATCATCTGATTTCTTGAGGAAATATTCATCTTCAATAAGTGAGCTTCTTTCAGTTGTTGTAAACCACAACTCCCCATCAACAGCTGAACACCAACAATCAAAGAACAAAACTTTCTAAGCTATTGTGGTGAGAGCAGGCTGCTAGCCGATTGGTTGGCACTAATCTACGTTAATGTCTAGGTCACTAATATTGACCGTGAACAAGGCTGTTTCAACAACCAATCACAGCAAACCTAAATGTGGACAAATATGATTCGCAGATAGATGGCTCTACTTTCCGAGAAATATCGAACACAACCAATCATAAGACTGTGTTTGTCTGCTTAACTTCCGAGAAACAACCAATCAGAAGACTGCCTTTTTCTGCTTGCATAAGCCTTATTAATGCATATAAAATATATATAAATACGTGTTGATTTTCGTAATAAAACGATCTGTTGCCAGCCCTTGTCTTCTGTTGTTACATTTGGTGTCGCTGCCTCCAAGAAGATGAAGATCCCGTGGCCAGCTGCGTTTGAAGAAGGTGACATACGGAGCTTCTTACGTGACTTCGAAGCCGTTGCTGAGCTGGTGGGTGTCAAGGAGCAGGCGGCGAAGGCAGTTGTCCTGGGGACGCTGTTGAGAGGCCGAGCGAAGGCTGCATATGACAGCGTAGACAGGTCAAATGGCACAGCGTCTTGGAAGAAATTGGTTGAACGACTAGTGTCCGAGTTTGACAGCGAAACAGACAGACAGCTAGCAATGCAGCAGTTCCGGTCAATGAAGCTTGGACCTGATGGAGACCCGCTAGTGTTGGCGGTGAAACTGACTAATCTACTTCGACGCGCGCTTCCCACTTTAGATGAAGAATCAGAAGCGCAGTTACTGTCTTCCCAATTCATCGAGAGTGTCCCAGACCACATTTCTCAGCGATTAAAACTGGTTAACGCAACGCAGCCGATGGATATTAGTGAGCTGGCGAAGGTGACCAGACAGCTGCTGAGCACAACGGTAGCCGCTATAGACCAACCAAAACCAAACGAATATGAGCAAAAATTGAAGCATTGCAGCGGGAAGTGGCGGCGTTAAAGTTGGCTGATAGAAAAGACCGGTGTTTTGAATGCGGTAAGCCGGGACACTGGAGAAGATACTGCCCAGAAAGGCGAAAAAGAAAAAATTTCAGACGGTATAATGCTTGTTCTTTCTTTCGTATGAACCTAGGTTTAGTGGGGGCTATTGAGAAAGGCGCTCTGTATTCGAAGTTGCGAGTGAATGATCGAGAAGTAGTATGTTTGATAGATACAGGGCGGCCGTGTCGTTAATAGATAAGAATTTATGTAAGAGTGTTAATCCGTGTTCATTGACAGTACAAACAGTAGGCGGGTATGTGTTGCGTATCACGGGTAGATCGAACTGTACGGTCGTTGTTGGTGGCTGCGAGGTGACGTTTCCTTTCATTGTTGTACCCGAACTACAGCGAACGATATTAGGAGCGGATTTTCTGCGTGAGATTGGTGCCATAATCGACACGCAAGCGAACGTGGTGATCACGAAATACGGGCATATCAACATGTATGAGACCAGCGAGATAGCAGCGATTAAGCTGTCGACGGTACACAATGTGACAGAGTTAATTAATAAATACGATCATCTGTTCACTGGAGATGGGACCCATACGGTTATTGCGATAAGGTGAATCATGAAATTCCGTTAAGTGATCCTAAAGTAAGGTCATTTTTAACGCGAAGAGTTCCATGTCATCTGGAAGGCGAAGTGGAGCGACAAGTGCAAGAGATGTTAAAAGATGATATTATTGAGGAAGCTGATAGCCCATACAACTCTCCAGTGCTGTTAGTAAAAAAAGCGAATGGGAAATATAGATTCTGTGTTGATTTCCGACAGTTAAACAGTATGACAGAGTTAAGACCGTGTGCCATGCCAACAGTGATAGAAACCTTAGATCGCCTACAAGGTGCGAATGTGTTTTCGGTTCTCGATCTTCGCTCAGGATACTGGCAGATACCGATAAAACAAAGTGACAGAGATAAGACGGCTTTCATCGTGGGTCAGACGCAATATCGATTTAAACGCATGCCGTTTGGACTAGCAGGTGCACCGTTTACGTTCAGGCGACTGATGAAGCTATTACTTAAGAACTTGAAAAACGTGGAGGTTTATGGTGATGATCTCGTCATATACAGTCAAACGAAAACGATCACGTCAACCATGTAGAAGCCGTGCTGCGACGCATCGAAGAGTTTGGACTACGCGTCAACAAAACCAAGTCTCAGATAGCCAAAAAGAATGTTACTCTGTTGGGACATAAAGTGGGAAATGGTGAGATTAAACCACTGCCGGAGAAAATTTTGACGATTAAAACGATTCCAGCCCCGAATTCAAAGAGAAAACTGAGACAATTCTTGGGTAGAGCAGCGTTTTATAGTCGCTTCGTGAAGAACTTCAATGAGATAGCAGCCCCTCTATACAGGCTACTAGGTGAGCCAAAGTTTGTTTGGTCGGAAGAATCGCAGAGGACATTCGACAGAATTAAACAGCTGCTCGACCACCAACAAATGACGCTAAAACTACCTGTGCCAGGAAGACAGTTCACAGTGTGCACAGATGCCAGTGACTACGCTATAGGTGCGGTCCTAAGACAGGACGAGGGAATCGTTGAGTATGCCAGTAGGGTGTTGACCCTCACAGAGAGAAAGTATTCAACGATAGAGAAAGAATGTTTAGCAATGGTATGGGCAGTCGACAAATGGAGACCTTATTTACTCGGCCGGCGGTTCCACATCGAAACTGATCATAAGCCGCTACAATTTTTGAAGACAGCGAGAGACCCACGGGGGAAGTTGTCACGGTGGATGTTGCGTCTTCAGGAATACGATTTTACGATCTCACACGTTCCTGGAAGTGAAAATGTCTTGGCAGATTTGTTATCGAGACCAGAAGATGAGTCTGAGTTGCCCGAGGTCGCTTACGGAGTGCATGCAGTAGAACAAGACCCACTAAGACTTGCACGTAGGCAGAGGTTGGACGATACGCTGAATACAGTAATACAGGTGATCACCAACGGAATAGAAGTGGATCAAACTACGGCGAGTAAGGAGCTAACCACACTACTCAGACAGAGGGATCGACTCAGAGTGAATGCCTACGGGACTCTGACCTGGCGAGAGAACGACGGAAGCTGGCTGGCTGTCATACCTCAATCGTCGCGCCACGACATGATAGAAGAATGTCACCAGCTAGCGCATACAGGCGTGGCCAGAACGACCGACCTCCTAAGACAAAGTATGTACTGGCCAGGTATGAGAGAAGACGTAGCAAGATACGTACTTGGATGTCCACGGTGCCAGCTGATGAAAGGTGACCGGTATATACGACCACCACTTCAGTCGATTCCAGTTACCGCGATAGGTGACTTGTGGTCCGTAGATGTCATGGGTCCATTTCCTCAGACATCCAATGGTAATCAGTACCTCTTGGTGATGACGGAACACGCGACACGATGGGTAGACGCCGTAGCAATCCCAGACCAACGTGCAAGAACCGTGACAGATGCAGTAGTTAGACACATTGTTGCAGACCACGGCGTACCGAAGACAATACTGACAGACCAAGGTCCCTGTTTCGAGAGTGAAGAGTTTACTTCCCGTTTGCAACAGCTGGGCATCAAGAGGATCAGAACGACCCCATACCATCCACAAACGAATGGCCTAACGGAGAGAAACAACCGTACACTGAAAGAGTGGCTGGCTTCGAAGGGCGGGAACTGGGAAACGGAGCTTCCACTGATTTTACTAACACATCGGGCTACCACTCAGGAAACAACGAAGAAGTCACCCTTCCAACTGATGTATGGTAGAAAACCACGATTACCGGTACACAATGAGACCTGGCCCATGCACCAAAAGTGGAGTACGACGAAATTAAAAGCAGAGAGGAAAGAGGCAGTCAAGAATGTAATACGGAAGCAGCGCAGTGATGTCACGAAGTCTCAGATGAAAGAAAGGACGCAGTGCATTACCTTTGCAGTCGGGGACCAAGTGAAGTGTAGAGACAGGAGATATACAGTTGGAGGCGGGCTAGGTTCACGGAAACTCCTTCCAAAGTGGGAAGGACCATACACAATCACAAAAAGACGGGGTCAAGTATATACCATCCGAAGAGGTGATAAACAGAAACGAGTTAACGCCAGTCAGCTACAAAGATGGGTACAGTGGGACAAGCCGGTCAGTAACAATCCTCAACTAGAGGATGTAGCACCCAGAAGGTCGGAACGTCTGCGCACAAAGCTATTTGACGGGGGGACGAGTGTGGTGAGAGCAGGCTGCTAGCCGATTGGTTGGCACTAATCTACGTTAATGTCTAGGTCACTAATATTGGCCGTGAACAAGGCTGTTTCAACAACCAATCACAGCAAACCTAAATGTGGACAAATATGATTCGCAGATAGATGGCTCTACTTTCCGAGAAATATCGAACACAACCAATCATAAGACTGTGTTTGTCTGCTTAACTTCCGAGAAACAACCAATCAGAAGACTGCCTTTTTCTGCTTGCATAAGCCTTATTAATGCATATAAAATATATATAAATACGTGTTGATTTTCGTAATAAAACGATCTGTTGCCAGCCCTTGTCTTCTGTTGTTACACTATCTCTGCCATGAGAAAACCTGCTAGATTTCCAATCACTTGAGAAAATACTACCCGTTTGTAATTGAGGTTCGATCGGTTTGGTGAGCGATCTTTATCCGTACAAGTTTTTGGACTTTTGGTTAATTAGCACGACATTATACAATACATTGTTGAATTCTAAATGATGGCTAAATTCAACTTCTCATCTTTCCATATCAGATAACTTTATTTTATGTTACACACTAACACGTTATTATTAATTGCATTTCTTTAAATATAAGTTAAAAAGTAGTGTAGATGTATTAAAGTGACTATGAGCGATACACTGAGCTCAGAAAATTATCCATTTATTAATACTGACTCAAAGCATTTTAATATATGTGTAAAACTTGGGCACTCTGGTAGAAAGTAATTCGATATTAATTTGTTTATTAATGTATCACACAGTGAAACAGTATTATTTACTGTATGACGTTTCGAACAAAATTTATTGTTCATAATCATATCAACTGTAATCACACGACTTTGTAACTTGAGCTTTATAGTTTTCTTTTTCTTCTCCTATTTGTCGTCGTAGGGGTAGTAGAATTTTTCAGATATCTGTGACAAGCGGTGAATCATTCCTATTACATATTCGATAAACAAAGCTTCTGTTATCAACCTCTCCCTCCACCCTGTGACATTTTAAAACTGTCTTTTCATCCCATCCTATTGTATGGTTGTGTGTAAATGCATGTAGTGCTATAGCTGAACTATTCTCTAGATTTCTTATCTTATTTGGGTCATCCAATCTAGATTTTGCTAGGTTTGTATGTTCGGCTAGCATTTTATATCGAATAACCCTGTCTGGTATGGAATTATGTTCTAAAACAGTCCTCAAATTCTATTCTTAAACGAAATCAAGTTTTTTCATCCTTACAACCACTGACAGTGTACAACTGGTTTTCACTAGTCCTACCTACGGATACGGTAAATCTACAATTATTAAGCTATCACATTTAAAAATAGCAACAAAACACGCACAAAATTTTACCAATCTTGGATACGTCTGAAATGAAAAACCCAGTTTTCTCATTAAGCGTTTGAATATATACAACGATAAAAAAAAGTATATTAAGTTCGAAGGTATATGTATCTTGTCAGCTTTACAGTTACCATTTTACATTCAGATAATCACCCTCTGAGATACAAATGCTGATACTTCATTTTTTTCTTCTCTATTTTAAAGTACGTCATAATGTACGTTGTGAAGGTTGTAAACGTGAACAAATATGCGGTTTACGTTATAAATGTACTCGATGCCCTCATTATAACTTATGCCAAGACTGCTTTTGGGTTGGTGTCACTACAGATCAACACACAAATGCACATGATGTTAAAGAGTATAGTGCAGCTTCAGTAAGTGGATTAAATAAAAAAAATTTAAAAATTTAAAACTTATAGAAATAATTGTACAGTAAACTGGTGAACTGAGCAAAGCTCGCAGTGTGTTTTCCAATATATCGTTACTGTTATCAACATTGTTATTTCTATTCTTTTATTATTAATACTAATGTTATTATTGAAGAAAGAATACTTAAGAACTTATTTCATTTTAAATATTTAGTTATATATAAATATCTTGATTTACTATGAAATTTTCGATGAGTTGATACTGACTCTTTTTTTTTTGTAAGTTTTCTTCTGCCACCTTTTACTACTGAGAAATGAAAAGAACAGCTAAAATACACTTTAAGAGGTTATTTTAGAATATCGTATTTTTGAAGATTTGCAAGTCAGTGAATGAAGAGTGATTGGTGTTGATTTATGTACATTCGTTTGTGACATCTTCATATTGTAGAGAATAACAATTCCCTTCTATCTGCGTTTTAAATTTAAAGTGGTCAGTAACTGCTTTCTGATATTAACTAAAATCCTATTATAGTTGTACATGGTCGTGATAGTTAGCCCTGACAACTGACTAATTTTGTGACCCTAGGACACTTTGTCAACATATATTTACAAATAAGGCGACATTTATAGATATTACAATATATTGACGAAAACTGAGAGGACTGATATAATCCGGAAAAATGATTTAATTTTAATTTACTTACAGTTCCACTTACATAAAGCAACGAAAACAAACAACACATAGGGTAGCGTGTATTGCAGCCACACAGAAAGGTAACACTATATATCATTTTAATAAAATACTCTACTGCATAGGCAGAAACAAACAATAAGAATATGATATTCAAGTATTGGTTTGTATGGATTTGATTGGTTGGTTACTGGATTTCATCATGAGCCGACATTGGTTAGAGAATTATTCGGAAACCTAGGAGTACTGGAAAGCTGTTTCGTCCTAGTTTGGGACTCTTCAAAAGTACGCACCCACAGGTTTTAGAACCCAGGACCTTCTGGTTACAAGGCGATCTCGTATACCATTAAGCCATTCGGACCCGATTCAACGGCCCACGAATTCGGGTTCCGGTTTTCCAATGATTCTCTAACCAATGTTGGCTTATGATGAAATCCAGTAACCATTAAGAATACGAATAAAGCTTCTATTCATTGTGATTTATACGTGGCACAGAATGAAGATTATCAGAAATACCGACTTCTTCATGAATTTAAAAATATCACTCATTAGCTTAAATAATCAAACAATGCACAACTACAAACGCCGTCTTTCTACTGATGTTAATATCACCGTTCACTCAATATGTATTAAAACAAGTTTTTATTCTCCATAGCAGCATGCTAGCATCAGTTAATTCGTATTTTAGTGCAACCTGGTTTCCTTTGAGACAAGTAAGCCGCTCTTTCCCTGAATTGAACACAATATCATAGTACGTTATAATGTTTGTTATCATAGTAAAAGACTAGGCTAGACATCTTTTATTTTATTTCAGAAGTCACATTCCCGTCAATTTGGGCATTCTCTGAGGAAATCGTTTCAGTTTGGACGGTCCTTGTACAGTTCAGTATCTTCAGGATTTGTCAATACAGCTTCTGTCGCAGGAGGGCTTAGTGAACGCCAAAAGCTTTCAGGAATCAACGTTACCCGTCGCCCTCATGTAGGATCCATTTTTGAGTGGAATTCAGGACCTGCCGCATCTAGTGTTTTAAATGCTTGCGTAAATGGTTGTATCCCAGCTGGACAACTACCAACTATGCCATTAGATGTAACGGCAAGCATTTCTGTTACGTGTTCTGTAATGCAACCCCCTGCAACCCAGAGGAATGTGGCACCAGTAAATAGTTTATGTAGTCCACTACCAAATCGACGCTTACAACAACTCAATCCGTTGTTTATGTTGAATAGGTCTTCTGCGGACACACCCAATGTTTCATGTATTCATCTACAGCCTACGCGAGTTTCTACGATGTTTAATCAAATAAATGAACTCAGTCAGGGATCGAACAATATGGATAAGAACGTAGTGGCTGGTACTTTTTACCCTAACGCAGTGCAGCAGCAGGATGTGATTCCTCTAAACTATATAAGATCAGGTGAGCTCTGCAACAGCCTACATTCCTATCCCAAATGTCAAAAGGATAAAAAAGGTTCATCTTCATTTTTAAAGCTATCGAATTTCTTGAGACGTAAACTGATATCGTAGTAATTTTAATGTGGTTTTCTAAAGTGAGGAGCTGCACTGACTTTTTTTAACTCAGTTTAATTTGTGGAAAGAATATATTGACTTATTATTATAAAAGATTTTGTATTTCCCAATGAATAAAAACAAAACGATATTGCTTTTGCTGACGTTTCGCCATTTTATGCTAATAGCTTTATTAAAGTATTATTAAACTAGATTCTGGTATTAGTAAAGCTATTAGCATTAAATAGCGAGACGTCAGTAAAAAAAATATCGTTTTGTTTTTCATACATTGGGAAATACATAGACTTTTATAATAATATTTAATATCATACTCCTAATGTCCAAATTTTTCAAGCTGTTAAAAGTGAACTTCGTTTGAATGTATATAATATACTAACTTATTATCCAGACTTTTATTATCTCTTCGTGAACGTATTTTAATATACAGCTGCAGAAGTTACAATAAAGGCCTATCCAATCAAAAGCTTAAACAAAAAGATGGTTTTAAGCGAATTAAAATGAAGTGACATAACTCCATCTTCTTAATCACTGTAATTTGACTCCTAACAGAAAATAATTCTGGAACTTTCCCGCCCCTTTGTAATGCAGTCACAAGTGTACAATCCAGCAAACGATTTCATCGAAATGAAAAGTTTTATAGTCTTCAACCATCGTTTTTTTTTTATAGTCGAATATTTGTAGATAAATTCCGACCATCATAATAGTGTCCTTATTCCTGTGAAAAAAATAAATAGAACAGGGGTTCGAAACGCGAGTGAATAGTATGAATGTGTTTAGCTGGAAAAGCAAAGGTCAGGTAAAACAATAAATCTAAGCCATTTGAAGTGAATGCAACTGACAACATACGAAAATATCATAGGCTCCTGGAAAGACTGTATGAGGGATGCAGAAGATAAGCATACTTGAACGATTTATGCTTTTCTGAAAGTAATAATATGAATTCGCGAATACCATTAGCGTAAGGAAAGAGAAACATATTTCAATTCGTTAGTTAGGGTGAAAGTAAAAAAGAGTTTAGGAATCAGAAACATCTGGAATCATCATGTAACTCTTAAGATGCCTTTCTTCTCGAAATATCTGTAGGTGTTTTCCCGCACAGGTATTGTGCAGGTTATTAGAAGAAACGCGGATTCAGCATACTTTGCTCCATTGTTTAAATGACAAATAGAATTATATTACAGCCTATCTACAAAGAGGCATCATATTGTTGTGATTATTATATCAATTGTCAATTCACCACTATGTTTTTATTTCTTCCCTTCCCCTTGTAGAAAATGGTATGCCATACTCTGATGTACCTTATGTTAACCAATATGTTTCAGATACAAAAAATCCACCAAGTACAAGTCACCAACCGTTGTCATCGTAAGTTTTAACGTCCTATTTTCTTACTCCTGTAAACGAAATAGGCTTTATTAATTGTATCACAAAAATTTACATTAGTACGAAACTTTAAACTGGATGTCAGCCGGTGTTGCAACCAACCGAAGATTGAGCTTGAGGAAAACTAATTTCTATCCAACAGACACTACGCTTAATTAACATAAGATCTTAATATTCCCAATGCGATAATTATGGAACACAATTTAAGCAAATATGTAATTTTGGTAATTTCTAATCAGGCTTTACAAATAAGCAGAAACTACACAATAAAATATTGACCACAGACATTTTAAACCAGTGTTGCTAATAGAATAAGAGTTCTGGAATTAGTTGTATTCTCTGGGCTGGTTGGTTTAATTAGGAAGCTCTCGTCGTCTTTCTAGACAACATCTTCAGCGCAAGATTTAGCATAGAAGGAATTCATTTGAATTCTTCATGAGAGATATAATTGTGTCTCCTGGCAGCTATCTTCGAGACGGGTAACGACTCACATCTTTTCTGATTAGTTTTTTTTATTGAATTGGTATTTGAACTTTCTTGTCACGTGACTTACTTTTTACTAGTTAGTCAGTTTGCTCTATATTGCAATGTTTGTTAATCGCTGATTCACTTGAGTACCAGGCTTCTAGGAATTCTCTGACATTTGAATAAAGCAAGAACAACAGCTTTTGCAGAATAAAATGGTATCATCATTTTTCTGTTGGCTTCTCATCAGCTGCTCACACGTCAAAGTCATTATTAATAAGTATATCTACAGAAACAATTTTAACATACTTGCACAGGGTTCATTTTTAAACAAAAGCCAATCAATATATGCATAGAGTAATTATATATATATATATATATATATATATATATATATATATATATAATTATTAATAAACACTATTCATAGCAGTAATGATCATACACAATGGAAACTTCCGACATTACGTAATCAGATGAAAGAGAGGTGAAAATATCCAGTTACCAGAGCAAAGAGAGACTGATAACTGCTTCTTTCTGAACGTATAAATCAGGTTTCATGCGGTTGATGGAGATGGCTTCAGCAAACTTGAGGAGAATCGAACTCTCTTGTTGCCTATTGATAAATTTGAACGATTTAGTGACGTCCACCTAATGACCCGTGTCAAGCAGATGCTTAGCGATGGCACTGTTTAAAGCATTTGTTCCCTTTAGACATAGGCTTTTTGTTACATGTCCAGAAGATCGTAGATATGCTCTTCTTTCTGTTGTCCAATGAAACTGCTCCTGCACTTTGGGTGTTTCCTCTATTTAAAATTTCAAAATTATCCTTATCAAATGAATGTCCATGATTATCTACATTCATTGACATAAAAGAATATATATCATGTCTTTTTACAGCTAACTTGTGTACTTGGATTCGGATTCGAAAGGGACTCCTACTTTGACAGATGTAATGTCTGTTACAGTTCATACAGTTTATTCGTAAATTGTATTAATTCCAAATCATCCACCTGAGCTACAAATCTTCTCTATTATTTCAAGAATTAGATTTCAGGCAGATAAATTAGTGGATAATAATCGAGATGATCACAGTAACAAAAATAATGGTAACGAAGATATATTCATGCAAGTGTCTGTATAATCTAGTTAGTCAGTCCCCGTGAATATGTGGGTAGAGTGTGTATAAATGAAATTCATAATTCTCAAATTAGTTAGGAATTCACAGTGCACATAATTTGAGGGGTGAATTTTTCACCACAGTTTCCTTTGAAAGCCAAATTATTGACAGATCACAGGACGGGGTTCACTTGACACCATAAGCGATAATCAAGGAAGCAAGCATATTTTCACAAAACTATGGACTGTTGATTGATTGAGATGAGTAGTTGTTCAATACTCACATCCAACATTATGTCTTGCCAACCAGATCGAGGTGGTCTTAACACCGGACGGCCGTCTTGCCTGTTTGGAGCCGAGTTCATCGGTGTCCAGTTAGACTCAGCTGAGGAACCTAATTTAGTTCAAATCGCCAGATTTCGCCCAAGTAGTTAGGTACTTGTTTGAAAGTATGACTTCCTGATAATTAAATATGTCGCATTTACAATATCTTATCACATTATCACATCGCCTAATGAACACACAAACATATATTTAACTAAGTAAAGTATTCACAATTAGGATATACTTTATTGTCAGTATTATAGTGAAGTTTGACTGAAACAATAATCAAAACTGAATAAATTTCACCCATAACTCACGACACAGTTTCTCACAGTTGAGTATAATCAAATTATACTCTGGTCATTAAAGTTGGTGGTTAGATTTGATGTTTATTTAGAGACATGTGTTAGTATTAAGAGACTATAGCTGTCTACAGATATGTAAGACTAGTATTCTTCTCATCACTTTATTTGTGTTCTTAGTGCAAGCCTTTAGCACTGCTTTGATACAGTCATTATTCTTCTTTTGTTAAAAATATCCCTTTATGAGGAATATTTGTGTCAGATTCCCGAATTTCTATCGATTTCTAGTCAAGTTTGTTCCCTCACATTTAGAGGCTACAGTTCATGATGAAATCCGTTTCTTTTTTTATTTTTCTATTATTTTCTATCCATTCATAAACCTCATGTGAATGCCTGAAAATACATCCAACACTGAATCTGCATGCCATATTGATTATTACAGTAGGCTGAGAATTCGAGTAAAATGACGTCATTTTTTGTATTCTCTCCTCATTTTTACTAATCATATTGTTATGTTTTTTTTCTTTTTGTCTGTGCGATGTACAAGCTGATGATACTGTTGTTGACTGCAACAATTAAGTCTATTTGCTGAGAAAATAAATATAATCATTAAAAAAAAAACATAGGCCAGCAAAAATTAACCTTTTCTTAACTTCACTTCAAAGATACACAGCTATGTAGTGTTCTCAAATGTAATGCAAACACCTGACATTGTTAATAAAATATATAAAATTACATGCCAGCAAAAATAATGAATAAATTACGAAATTAATTTAAGTAGTCCTATGTAATCTAAAAAATAAAGTGATGAATATCGCTTAGAAATGACTACCATTAAAACTACAAGCTCTTTGAAACAGTAACATTGTTCAAAATAGTAAGTGGTTCCGAATGTAAGAGGAAACAACTAAATGAATCACTTACCAAATGACTGCATAAGATAGACAAAGAAAATGTTAAGGCCAGGATAGTGAAAGGGATTGAAGATGCCTTTTCTGTATACACAGTTCAGGGTTTTCCTTGTGTATACCGAGAGCTTCTGCCTGATTCGAAGATGTTGTCAGGATATCTATTCCCTAAACGAATTTGAAATACCTTATATAACACTTTGTTGAATATTTTTATTTTGGTATGGGATGATATGTATAAAGAAGGTAGGCAAAAACTAGGTTATTAGTTTGTTTAGTTTCTCCTGTCAACATCCATGCTATTTTTTGCATGATTTATAATTTTTATGTTTTTGGTTTTGTATATTTTGTTGTCAAATGATGTTATCAATCTACCTTTGTAGGCATTCCCATGACATTGAAGAACATTACCTATCTGTACAGCTTTGAAGCAAAAGTTATCAGAAGAATAGCCTTTGCTGACTTGTCTTTACAATTTATATCACATGGATATTTCTCATGCCTTTAAAATATTAAAGTTTTTTCTTTCAGACACCGTTAAAATGCACATACTGTTGCTACACAGTTTCATGCTAATTTAAACCAAAAACACTTCTGTTGAACTCTAAGTCACACAAAATCGAAGACTTACAAGCGAAAACCGACAAACTGGTTGAAGAAGCAGCCGGCGAAGACAGGACTCCAGGTGAACATAGACAAGACGGAGGTTATGAAAATAATCAGCCAACAACAACAACAGCAGCAACATCAGGCGCGAATCACCATCAACGGGAGGGATTTCAAAGAGGTTACTTCATTCACTTATCTAGGGAGCATTGTCTCAACTACAGGAAGTCGGAACGGACGAGGATGCCAAATCGAGAGAGAATCGGGAAGGCGAGAAACACATTCACCAATCTGAAACCAATCTGGAAATCTTCGTCACTCAGCATCAACAACAAAATTCAGTCGGTTTTTCAATACAAACGTCAAGTCAGTCAGTTCTTCTATACGATCAGAAACTTGGTGGGCGGGTCACAAAGAATATTTTCAACAGCCTGTTGCAGACCTTTATCAACCAACAACTGTCTTCGCTCTATACTGAAGATAAGGTGGCCGGACGGAATCACCAATAAGAAACTATGGGAAGAAACAAAACAAGAACAAACCAATCGCCCAACAAATATGCAGGAGAAAGTGGAGATGGATTGGACACTCGTTGAAGACATCGCGCGTCAGGCCGTTGCTCGAGTGTAACCCGAAAGGGAAGAGGCGAGTGGTACGTCAGTGTAAGGGTGACATGGAGGAGATCGTGTGAAGAAAAGCTGAAAGAGTATGGACTAACTAACATGGATGAAGGTGAAAAGTACAGCGGAAGACAGAAGCAAGTGGAGCGTGCAGTTGAAGCCCTATGTTCCACTAGGAAGCCAAGAGACCAATAATAATAAACTCTAAGTAATGTACATTTTTAATTTGGTTTGTGTTTATTGTAAATGACTGCAATATTGCGCATTTAATCTGTTATTATATCTGTGTTGTTTTCGTGTTTATGCAAAATTTATGTATGTAGATCATCTTATCCTGAACCTGTTACATATTTGAATCAGCAGTATCAACAACAGCAAGAAATATCAAGTGCAACAGCCCAAGTACTAACCACACAGACAATAAGCACAACATCGATAAGTAATAATAGTTCATTCAACGCAAATACGAAAGCCACTTTTTCAATGAAAATGCATAATATGGATCAAAAGTCTAGCGAAGAACACGCCTTGATTGCTAGATACGCCGCTCAACTGGCTGCTGCTTCCTCTCTAAATAAAGAATTTGATGTAAGTTTAAAGTTTAAGCTACCACTTAAAGTTGAGAATAAACACTTAGTCGGAATTTAATTTTTCAACCATATGCCACGTATCCTTTTCACTGTCAATTTATAACAATTGCAGGTTACTGATAACTTTTTACAGCATACTAATTTTATTAAGTTTGTGGAAATTTATTAGGCCTCTAGTAAATATATCTAACTGACTAAAATTAAGATAGATTTAAGCAACTGAATTCCTGTGAGTATTCCTCATAATGACTGAATAAAATGGATGTGTACAAAGTCCAACTAGTTCACTAATTATCCTAATTTGCACTGATGCTCAGCATAAAATTTACCATTAGACTAACGGTTTGATTCAGTCTTTGAATATGAAATGTCAATAGCTATTGTCTAGGATAAGGAATTCTCTGTTTCTTATCCAGAGAAGCGTTATCTAATATGAAAAGGTTTACGTACAGGAAAGTTGTGTGAGTGACTTGATATGATTGTGAGCAATAGTTTGTGCTCGAAAAATCATTAGTTACCATTTACTGTATAACACAGTGTGATTTATCAGTATAAAATCGTATCCATAAAATTTTTATCTCTAATGAACCAACGAATCGCTTTTTCATTCATGTTTAACATATGAGTAAAATAAAACTTAATATTTTTCTGGTAGCGGACATGCGTCCGTGGCACAGTAGCTAGGACTCTCGCCGACCATGCACATGGTCCGGGGTTCAATCCCCTGCCAACGCACACCTGGTATCAATCGTCGGCCTGGAAAATTTGGGCTACCGATATCACATACTGAAAATTCCATACTTGTACCAAAAATACAGTGTGGAATCAAGCTGTAATCAAGAAAAAATAAAGAAGTAAAGTTCTGGAATAAACTTGGTATAAGCATCCCCAATCTTCTTTGACAAAGTCATAGACAGCCTATGGAATATAGTTATTCTCTTTATAAGTAAACTGTTAGGCGTTTTATCTGTAGAGTTGAGTTTATATGCGTACAACAAAATTTTACACGCAATAATCTTAGCGTAGATTTCGTAGGCGATGGGCGCACGTTAAAGAATTATTGTAAAACAAGGAGCAACAAACAACTGTTTCAACCTAACTTCGGAATCTCCACAAATACGCACCCATGATCCTGCCAGATTCCCAAGCCAGCACCGTCAGTTAGATAATCAAGCGCATGTATCATTGGGTCTCCGTGTTGACTTTCAATATCGATGATTTATCCAGTCAGCCAGTGAACTCAGTGAGCGTCAACTCCACGCTGGACATGATGGTCACTGCCGCGTACAACTGCTTATGAGACATTTAGGAAACGGACAGTAAAACCACTGAATGATAAGAAAGAGAATAATATGTAGTAATTGAATTTGAAGGTATTTGATTGTTTTCAATATGGATTATATCATTCCTAGGTGAAATCAAATCAGACAGTTAGAAGAGCTGTAAAATTCAGTTAGCTCTGTTACCCTACAGAATAAAAGAACATCAAAAAAAACTGCTGAAACGGAAAATTATGGTGGTCTTATTCTCTCTACGTGGAATTACTAGCTATGAATACATCTATGAAATGAAGAAAATCTGATATTATGCAAAACGCAAAGAGGAGTGTAGAGCATGAAGTCCACAGATGAATTTTCACTTTTGGATTTAACAGTCAACTTGTGAGGCGAAATTGATTCAATGTATATTCTGTTTATGCTAAAATTTTTGAAACTACATTTAGGATAGGTATGAATGATATGAATATTGTTTGAAACAATATCCAGTGATAATACGGTTTTGCTGAACCACAGAGCATAAACTAATAAAATGACCTTTTATTTTCCAAAACTTATGAAATAACACCGACAAATCGGCGGGTTATTAGTGAAACAAAAGCGAAATGCAGCTTAGCAACTACTCACATTTGCATACACTAAACAACAATTAAATCTTTTATATGGAGGCTGGGTATGCAGTCTGTCTGATCGAACGGAGATGTGGCAAGATTCAAATCTGCTGTATGCGTATATGTAAATTACAATGTATTAAGGGCCTTATTGAATTAGTTGCACTCAATTTTACTTAATCTTTTCATAAGCATACTATTGAATCATTCTAAACTTAAAATTAAAATATTGTTGATGAAGGTTATAATTGTGTTCTCCAACGTATGTTCTTTATATGCATATATATATATAATTCTGTGTTCTTTTGATCATTTTGGAGCTAACTAAGTTTTTAACCCGAATGCAATTGTCTACAACCGTGGTGCGAGTATGAAGGTTAGCAGAACATCAAGGAAATAACACTATCTATACGACATGTTTAGCTTAGTCTAAGTTATGCAGATCTTTTGTTTTAATAACTTATACAACTCCAAAATAGTCTTTATTATTTTGCACACAAAATGGATGTTATAAAGTTGTTCGTCGGCTCAGGAAGTGAATATTCACATTTCTGCTTACGTAAGAAAGTATGTCCGTGAGATGCCTGTGTTTAAAAATAACTCCATACGTTACCTTTTAAATATATATGTATATATATCATATATTTACAATGACATTTTAATTTTACGGCCCTTGATTTTAAAGAAACTAGGTGATCTTGTTGATTCAACGCAAACGCAAAAACAGCTGATCGCGCAATTGCAAGAGAAAAACAGGTAAATCTGTGCCGACAGCACGCGTATTTTTATTCAATCAGTTTAAAGCTACCAGCAAATATTATCAAAAACGTACATTCATAAGCCGACTTATTTATTACCATGCTTTTTAGACTCCTCGTCATTTCTTCATGTTTTTTCACAATGATAATTATGATGTACTGATTGCTGATGGTATAGTGTCAACTTCAGCTTTACATAATTCGATACACTTATTCCCTTTAAAGAATTTGAATAAAGCAAGAACAACAGCTTTTGCAGAATAAAATGGTATCATCATTTTTCTGTTGGCTTCTCATCAGCTGCTCACACGTCAAAGTCATTATTAATAAGTATATCTACAGAAACAATTTTAACGTACTTTCACAGGGTTCATTTTTAAACAAAAGCCAATCAATATATGCATAGAGTAATTATATATATATATATATATATATATATATATATAATTATTAATAAACACTATTCATAGCAGTAATGATCATACACAATGGAAACTTCCGACATTACGTAATCAGATGAAAGAGAGGTGAAAATATCCAGTTACCAGAGCAAAGAGAGACTGATAACTGCTTCTTTCTGAATGCATAAATCAGGTTTCATGCGGTTGATGGAGATGGCTTCAGCAAACTTGAGGAGAATCGAACTCTCTTGCCTATTGATAAATTTGAACGATTTAGTGACGTCCACCTAATGACCCGTGTCAAGCAGATGCTTAGCGATGGCACTGTTTAAAGCATTTGTTCCCTTTAGACATAGGCTTTTTGTTACATGTCCAGAAGATCGTAGATATGCGCTAACCTCCCTCAGTTTCACTATAACTTCTGTTTAATTTAATCGATTTATTTCGATTCATTGAATTTTGTTTGTTATTCACAAAATTATCAGTTGACCTAGGGCATACTATGCACAAATAAAGCATAACTGCGATCATAAAATCTTAGAGAACTTAGAAACAACTGACAGCAGTGAATAGGGCATATTCAGCTTAGAAAGTGGCTTTGTTTTTGTGTTGAATTCACTAGTCGACAAGTGATTAGCTACAGAAATAATTAGCTATGAAACTAAATGTAGTATTTCACTACCCGTTAACGCTGATGAATAGTGTGACTGAAGTTCTAAACTCTGTCCAGTAATAACATCTATACTTTATTTAGAAATTAAACGCTATCTGTAATGATATAATACTAGAATGATAAGTTTTTGTGTTTTTTAAACATAACAGACAAGTTTAACCGCTGTTCATAAATCAGTGCATAACATGATCACTTCTGCACTATGCATCGTAATTGTGAGTCAAAGGTGTATATTGGCTGCCAAGGTGTTATAAATACAAATATGATACTATTCTTTATACGACTGGATGTCAGATGTCATCCTGAATCAAAGGACTATTTTCTGTATCAACGTACCATTTGTTAATACTGCAGTCTATAGATCTTACCTAATTTGTCAACAAACGTAGTTTAAATGGATGTCTCTTTTATGATGCTTATTATTTACACTGTCAAGCAGGTCACAAATTATTATCTGAATATTTCATCTTCCAAAGGAAACTACAATGAAATTCCATCTCGAACTGTGTAATTTACAAATTCTGAAATTGAGACCTCTCGTTTAATATACATCTAAAGTAATTTAAGTAAAAACAATCTCACTTTTTGTTTATCAGTATTTGAGGAAAGTGTGTTTGGCCTATTTCTACTACTTATCATTATTTCAGGAAAATACTGAGAGAAATCGAACGTTTACGTATTGAACAACAGAAACAAGCAGCATTCATAGCTGCCACTGGTTGTCTGAAAAATGATTCATCTCAGTTAAAAGATTTATTTAATGAAAGTCCAGACACATTAGGTCAAGGGAATTCAGCACAACATTTAAAGCCAGATAGTATAATATCATCTGTAGCCAGTGCTTCGGCGAACGCACAAAATCCTCGTCTGGTTGCTGATTTGAAGGCGATACGTCAAAGGAAAGATGAGTTGGAATCCAGAATGAACAACCTACAGGTATGCGTTTATTTTAAGTTCTCAACAGTTAAATATTACAACATATTATTTTATAATATTTTTAGAACACAAACTCTTAATGCGACTTGTCATTAATAGTTCAGTGTTGATATGTAAAATGTTTATTCAAAAATCATACCTGATATTAATTTGTAACTGGATATTTTGTGCATATGAAATACGACGAACAGTAATTTCCCTAAACTGATGTCATACAAATTTATATATAAATAAATATATTTTGCATTCAGTCGTATATGGGTGCTAGCTAGGCTTCACTTTCATATTTTCATATAGACTTACTAAACATCAAGCATTCTGTGAAGAAAATATCCACATCATTAGGGAAAACCTATTTTCATACTTGTTTTTATTCCTTAACATCCTTAGTGGAGCATTGATCTTCGAGCTAGAGGTTTGAAGTTTAGGTAGCAGTGGTACTTGTTTTTACCGGATGAGGTCGCTAGCTTCATGCACAACCCTTTTTTCTTACCAGTCTTATTACTGGTTTGGAGAAGTAAAGGAGTGTATTGGCGGGGGATCGAACCCGGGGCCACATGCTTGGTCGGCGAGCATTCTACCACTGTGTCACCGACGCATATTTTTATTCCTTGCTCAAAGGAAAGTTGTTTATTTACACATCCATCACTTACAGCGAGTTTTAAAACATTAAGCATTTTAATGGTTTCTTTTAAGTTTCTATGGAAAACGTCTTCACTGTTGAAATGAAAAAAAAGCTTTACGTATATTCCGTATGATATGCATACACGTCATAAATTTAGAAAAATTCTGGATGTTTAACTTTCTTTTTTTTTTAAAAACACTGTGTTTAGTTTTATGAAGACAAAGCGTAAGCACATAACTTTCTTCTCCTTAATAGAATATGCAATAGCATGCACCGTGTCTATTGATCTTTCACCTTTTACCTGAGTCTATCACAGTTTGCCTGGGTTGTATGGTATTTTAGTTACCATCATTGACAGTATTTCATCGCATGTCATTTAATGACTGAGGGATAATGCAGAATATTCTTTGAGTTTAAGTCATTCCCGATTCCTGTACATCTGTTTTTATTTTTTTCACCTAAATGTAAACAGGTGTGAGAAACTGATGTGCGCATGAAAGTGGCTATCAATGAGAAGTACCAAGAATGAATATTATTGTTCTTTTTTAACTTTTAGCGTAGTCGTACTGACTTAATGCTGCAGCTTGAAGCACTCGTAAGACTTTTATCTGTGAGCACAGGGCTCACTAATTTACATGAAAACAATCCTTCAATAATCACGGATCCATCTCTGTTATATGAATCGAATGGTATTAGTCGAAATGGGCATGGTTCACGCCTGGATCAGAAATCACATGATTATCCACCTAGACGAAGTACAAGTCTATGCCATCCATCAGTAGGAAGAAATTACTCAGAAAATTTTCGTCCTGCAGCCACACCAGTAGGTTTAATTACTTGTCAACAGTTTTTTAGTTTCATTTATGTTTCAACGAACTACGTTATTGGCTGATTTTCTCTAATGAAGCAGATACTTTTATTTGTAAGCACCAGATATATTGATAAGAATGCTGTAAATTTACTTGTCCGTTCGCTGAAGCCATCAGCAAATCACAAAGCGAATGGAATATACTTTCACTCATCTCCGAAGTATCATACAAGCATTGATCACTACCGTTTGTTTTCTTTTCAAACCACGTTATATGTAACTACACTTAATTCCATATCCTTATAAAATCCATAGTATAAATATTATCAAATTATCCAAAAGCTCGAATCACCTAATCTAGAGAACACGGTGCGCTTTAAATTCTCCATAAATGCAGTTCTTCACAGAAATACATCAACTGATAAAAAGTGAATGGTTCGTTAGTCGCTCTAATTGAATTTATCTACTTTGAATCCATTATTTTTTAAAACTTTTAAGTGCTAACTTCATGGGATGTTAAACCAAGCGAGGTTGATCGCTATCTTTTATTTACAAACAACGAATTTTTCAGTTCATTATTGAATCGATTTTTGTTTCAAAGAATTTTTCATTAACATCTAGGCCGCTAATAATTTTGCGTTAAATCATTCAGAAGCTTTTCCAATGACTTTTCTTTGCTTCTAAATGTATCTGATTATTATTATTATTATTATTGTATCCTTTAGTTCCTAGGGGAACATAGGGCTTCAGCTGAGCACCTCCATTGCCTTCGGTTTTCTGACAACTTTTTCACCCTGCTCCAGGTCTGTCCACATGCTTTCATCTCCTCCTCGCTTCTGCTGGGATTCCATCTGATCCTGTTGTTTTCCTAGCTTTAAGCATCTTGATTGCATTCAGGACTTATGATTTCGTCGGGGGGTCAGTGTTCACTGGTAGTTCTGCTTCCGTTGTTGGTATTGTTGGGCACGTTGTAAGTGGCGGACGATTTAGAAGTCTTTTGAAGTGTTCAGCCCAGTGCTTTCTCTGTTCCACCTCTTTGACTCGCCCGTTGACAATTTGGTCAGTCCACTCCCATTCCATCTGCTTTCACATATTCTCAGCACTTGGATTCCGTATCTTTTCATCTCGTTGGCGACCTGGGCAGCTTTCCCAATCTCGTACATAGTTCGGACGTTCCATGTCCCCACACAGACTTTTTCTTTTGGTGCAAAGAGGTTCATTCTGCTGAAGGTTCTGTAGCAATTTTTGTTTACAGGGTGGGGTTGCTAGCCTCACGCCTGAGAAAGGGATGATTACATTAAGTTAAAGTTTAGGGAGAAGCGACTTTTTGGGTTGCTCCCCTCAAAATCAGAAAATAACGGGCAAACAATGAGAACAACATCAACAAAAGGAAACAGTTCACAGAAAAAGGGCAAAAAGCGACGACAACTATAAAATAAGACAACATGCAATATAGTTCAGCACAGTTAACTAAAATGATATCTCAACCATAAACTCACTGACTTGGAGCAACTTGAACATGTAAATCCAACAATATATACAATTATAGATGTTTTTATGTTCAAAAATTCCACAAATCCAAATAGTTAGTTATATGTATTATCTGTCAATAAGATTGTATTTTTTGGATTCAGTGTTCGAAAAGTTAATAATTGTGATAGTTTCCACAAACTCTTGACATAACATTTTACAGAAATGAGAGTTTTTATTAATAAGAAAAATGTAGCGCAGTAGTCGAAAAGTAGTATCTGATATGATGGTGAAATTATGTAACTTTTATCTTGTAAGATATGATATTTTGAAATCGGAAAATTTGGGAACTTTGAATGTTTTGGTTAAAAAAAATCCAAATGTTGTCAGTCAAGTCCCATAAACCGTTAATGACCAGCTCTTGCTACGCTGGACCTCACGCTGTTCTTCGAGGATTTCCAGAAACGCTTAGTATTAACCGACGCAAAAACCAAAACACTGTTTGGTGACTCAAGATTTCTTTATTCTAACGCCAACATATAACCAGCAATACTGCTTTTACAGAGTAAGGTGTAAGAACAAATATTACAACAATAAATCACGATATTACTTCTAATAGTTTTTCAATCTTCCTTCTGAACAGCGAATGATGAGACGATGACTGTCAGATTGATGACCCGCGAAAATTATGGGGAAGTTTGGTATGAGCAAACAACCATGAATTGATCGTTCAATCTTCAACTACATTGACAAATGTCCTTTAACTTTTAACAGACACAATAGTGTATTTGGTGTTATCTGTAGCAACTTCTGGAATATGTGTTGTTAGAAGTGGACCGGTTTCAACTGATAAACTCTTAAATTAAGGGTCCAGCATATAAAACTAGAAGTAGAACTTATTTGATCAGTTCATTATTCCTGTAAACGTATTTGACGTGGCAAAATTTACTGCTTACACTTATTTATCTGTCTCAACACCATTATGTTTCATTTCATTCTACATAAATTGAAGTATTGATGTAAACTACTCATATTTCCCAGCAAGAATTCATTATAATTCGTATATTTCTTTTTCTAAATGAAATTTGGAATGTCCCACTAAAGGAGTTCTCGTTCGATAATGGTTATGGTGCTCATCAAAAACCTGGCTCTTCAGACACAACGCGAAAGTCTCTCTCGCCATTAAAAGCGATTATTACCGAAGAAAAAGGGTGGCAACGAAATTTGCAGAAATATGAAGTACACCCATCAACATCCGCTCTATATAGGTAAAAAAAAGCTACATCTTATGTTTGTTCCTCTTTAGAATTATCATGTTTAAACATTTTCCTGATTATAGAAATCGAAATTTGGATAAGAAAATATACATCGCACCTCCAGTTTAAACGGTACTTATAATCTCACAGAAAACTATTCCAAATTACAAAGGAAAGGAAAACATGTTTCTAGTTAAGTAAACAGTTTGGCTGTGTTCAAATCATAAGTCATAACTTATAGATATATTTCAATATGAATAAATAATGGAGGGTGATTCTTTGCACTACTACTGACCTTGTTTCACTACCAATATAATTGTATAAAACTTGAAATAGAAACTCAATTCACCTTCCTTTTCATCGGAGGGCTTTTAGTGTTAAAACACAAACTGGACTGGTGATACGCCTATACTTAGTAACAAACTTAAATAGGCCTGAGGATAAAACGAATAAAATCAGTTAATTAATATTTCGCTATTCGTTTGAACACAGCAAAGTGAATTCACTTTAATATCCTTTTAAGTATACTAATTAAAAACAAGAGTCTAGCAAACCAAAAATAACGTATTCCAATCGCACTAATGGTATGCATCAGTGACTTTGTGTTCATATCTTATTATTATCTATGCAGTTCATTACAAAGTCATTGAAAATATTACAGGTGAACAAAAGAAACCAACTGCAATCCCTTTTAGTTTATAATGATAAAACCATGAATATCTGTTGACAGTATTAAAGTTCATATGAAAAGATTTTCACTGCACTCATACATGCATTATTATCATTTTCGTTTTAAATCTTAGAAAATTTAATCATGCTTCAAAAATATGGTGGAGATACGTGGATGACACTTTCACACTGTTAAAAAGAATGTGTCTCTGGTTTCCTAACACATCCAAACTTAATAGTAGAGGTAATGAAACTTACATTTGATTCAGAAAATAAACAAGTAGAATTAGCTATGTTAGACGGAAAAAAAGAATAGAAGTTAAACTATATACTAAATTTTATAAAAGGCCAGCGTACTTTAGTTCATCTAGTCCTTTATTTTTAAAGAAAAGCCTAGTTAAGTGTTTAAGAAACCTCTAATTAATACATCAGAAAACCTATATAATGAATTGAAACAGACAGAAGAAGTGTTGGTGTTAAGTAAATATTCCATAAAATTCAATAAGATCATAAAAGCTAACAACAAGAGCAAAAATAGTAGTGGAACTGTAAAAATTTAAGACATCTTCAACTTCATCATATTAGGAAAAAACATCTGTAACTCTGTCTAGAGTTCTTAATAAAGCGGCTTAGCGCAGAAAAAGGAATGTGTCGCTCACGGATCGAACCCCGGGCCACATGCGTAGTCGGCGAGGATTCTACCGCCGTGTAACTGAGGAATTCCCGTGTTTTTGTACTTTATAACTTTGATTACAAGCTAAAAATGGTTTTTTATTTATTTTGTAGAGAGTCACCAGAGCTACACCAGAACACATCCGATAATATAACGGAAAAATACAAAGACCTTTCATATAAAGGATCAAATAAGCACCATGGAGCATCAAAAGTACATTCTACTGGACGAAGATCATATCTGGGAGTAAGTTATGTAACTAATTTATAAACAGAGTCTTGTGGTTATTTCACTACCTTGAAAACCCAACAATAGTTCATATTTAGTGAATATAAAAAGTTGTTTGCTGTATAACACCTGTCGATTATGATGTATCAGCACTAGTTATACGTTTAGCCAATGATCCCAGGACAAGATGGTGATTATTTTAATGAATACTCATGTTGGTCACTATGTAGCAACAGAAGACAAGGGCCAGGTAACAGATCGTTTATTCAGGAAATCAGCACGTATTTATATATATTTCATGTATATTATTATAGCTTATTCAAGCAGACAAACACACATTCTTCTGATTGATTGTTTCTTGTTCAAGGTTATTCTGTACTGCTTGTGACTGGTTTCCCAGAAAGTTAAGCGATATATCTCCGAATCGTATTTGCCCACGTTAAGTCTGCTGTGATTGGTTGTTGAATCAGCCTTGTTCATATTTTCTCACGGCCAATATTAGCGACCCAGACATTGACGTAAATTAATGTCCACCAATTGGCTAGCAGCGTGCTCTCACCATAACTTCATCTCAATCTCAAGAAAGTGGAGACGCAGTCTACTGCACACAACATCGGAAGAAGGGCAAGTATTGGCCAAGACAATCGCCTAGTGCAAGGCACTTTCAAGGTCACGCTGAAAGCCGTCAAAGAAACTGTAAACAGACGGCGATTCAAGTTCAACACTCAAAAACTGAAGGACGAAACTACGAAAGACACATTCACTGAAGCTATCAGAGGCACTACTTGGCATCACTGAAGAAACCTGTGTAGGAGAATATTGGAACCAATTCTGTGAAGGTGATGCTCAAAGAAACCCATACAACTGTCTCAGGAAGAAAGAGAGTCAAGACAAGAATTGGCTCTCAATGGATACGTGGAAGCTAATAGAAGAGAGGAAAATGGTGAAACAGAGGATGGACCAATGCAGAGATGGACAACGGAAGAAGCAGCTGAGAGTTCAGTGTACATCCCACTGAATAAAGAAGTGAAGATTAGTGATAGGAAATACAAACGACAATTCTACTCTAACGGTAGAAGAAAAGTTACCTGGTAACGCAATCCGTTATTGAAACTTGATGTTTTTTAAATGCGAAATTATGTACACATTTTTGACAGTGGTCATAACAACAGATCTGACCCGCGTAAAATATATATCAAAAGATTATACCATTATTTTAGTAGATCTCTATCTGTGAATTCAATGAAAGATAGTCATGGGAAACTAATTCCAAAAGAAGAGGAACAAAGAAAACAGTGTGTCATCATCTGCAGCTATTCCGGAAATACAACTAGCAGCCACCGGACTCTGAGTAGACAACAATCCTTCGAAAAAAGCAGGGCGCCTGAATGCAATACAGTTATTGATGTCCGGGAAGGAATTACGATACGATGGAATTCCCTCTGAAGCTCTGAAAACGGATTCACATGTCTCTACGAATATGCCTACGCCACTGGGGCAAGGCTTGAATGGTACCGTGGACTAGAAGGAAAGCTACATTGTTAGACTGCCATTTGGAAGCACTCGAACGGAATCAGGCTTCTATACACCCCAGTCAAAATACCCAACCATGTCAATCTGTAGAGACCAAACGATGCTATGGAGGCAGAACTCTACACGGATACATGTGTATACAGAAAAAAACTCGAAGACTAACAGGCGAAAACCAACAAGTTGGCAGAAGAGGTTGTCAACGAAGACAGAACTTTAGGTGAACGTAGAGAAGACGGAAATCATGGAGATAACTAACCAACAACAACAACAAGTATCAATCACTATGACGGGAGAAATTTGAAAGAGGTCATTTATTTCACTTATCTAGCGGGATAGTTTCAGCCACAGACGGAACAGATGAGGATGTCAAAACCACGATCGGAAAAGCAAGGTAACCTTCATCACTCTGAAATCAGTTTGGAAATCTTCTGCACTCAGCATAAAAAAATAAAACTCAGATTTTCAACATTGATGTCAATTCAGTGCTTCTATATGGGTCAGAGATTTGGCGTGTCACGAAAAGAATTTCCAACTGACTGAAGACTTTTACCAACCGCTGTCTTCTCTCAATGATACTGAAGATCAGATAGACAGCAAAAATTAACTTCAAGGAACTCTGGGAATGAGCCAAACAAATACGCTAAAGGAAATGGAAATTAATCGGACACACGTTGTGGAGATCGTTTAACAGAATCGCTCATCAGGCCCTCGAGTGGAACGCGAATGAGAAATGATGAGTTGGACATGAGATAGATCGTGTAAAAAGGAGATGGAAGTTCATAGGCAATCGTGGCATCAGGCAAAGAGGACTACAGAGAACAGGATGAGGTTGAGATGTGTTGTTGAAGCTCTATGTTCCACTCGGAACCCAAGGGAATAGTTAATAATGATCACTTACATGTGTTAATGAGTGTAGGAATAATCTGTAGGTTATAACGTCCTATCAAATGTATTATTGTCCAAGTGTACTGTGTGGGTCACTTTTAAATTTAAATCAAAAATTCTAATTTAAATGTATATGTGCAGAATACAGGATATGTGTTCAAGTGACACCATGTTCATGCAAAACATACCACTTGAAAAGACACAGATAGAGTGGTGGGATGGGCATGGAAGCAAATTCAAATAATAGTTTTCACAAGTGAAGTTGAAAAAAGTGAAGGCCAATGGAAAAACAAAATCTAAGGTGTCAAGCCGAACCAGATCGATGGTGAATGTGGAGGTTGGATCAGTTTCTTTTAAACACACCACCCTGGCTTTTCACTACATATGGTGAAGTCTTCTGCAACACACAAAAGTCGGAAACACTCTGGTTTTGTCTACTTTGCAAATGACTCATCATTTAGAGTCATCTCTATCAATAAAGGTGATATGTGTGATTTATTCTAATAGGCTTTATCAAGTGAAGAAAAACCAGAATTGTTCAGCCATAACTCAACAAATATTAGCAGATTACAATCAAATGGTTCGTCACACCTTGCCAATCATTCTGACAGTGGATCTGATGCATATTTGTACTCAGATCCTGAACTATGCTTTACAACCACATCAACATCATGTCCGTCACAATCTAGTACATCAGTGGTACAAAGAAGAGCGGAGTTATCACCTTTGTCACCTGCTTCATCAATGGCATACAAAGATTCCAACAAGTCGAAATATCTCCTGGATCGCCTGCATGATAGAATCATGGTAACAACGACAATCGTTGATAACTATGAATATTCTGGTCTACAAACATCTTCAATGTCACCATTGTCGTTTTCTGCAAAAGAATACATGAGATGTGCAAAAAATGACTCTAGTAATTCAAATATTCCAGCAGCAAGAAATCCCTAGTTCGGAAATAAGAAGTGAGTGAGTGTTTCGTTCAAAATAAGTTTTGTAAATGAATAATGAATTATTAAAGTCACTTCATATCACTGAATCTCACATTGAAAAGCACACGATAAATGAAATTCTAAGGTCCTAGTTATTCAGTCTCACCTTTTTTGATAAAATAATTTGTTATTTTGAATATCTATTATAAAATAACCTCTTTAGATAGATTCACAGTGTTCATTATAATAGAGGTTTTTGTATTTCCCAATGAATGAAAAACAAAACGATATTGTTTTTACTGACGTTTCGCTATTTAATGCTAATAGCTTTCTCAAAGAATTCACACTGTTTTTATTCGAAGTCGTATTTCACTTTATCTATTTATATATACTTCCTAACCATTCACGAAGTCATTCGGCGATTAGTCACTATAGTCCCTAAAACAATTTTTGATCACTAAGATAAAAACGTTGACCAAGTTATCTGCCTTTTCAATTGACTATTTTCATATGTTGTTCATGACTATAGCCAATCGAATACGCTGAATAGATGCACAGAAATGTAAGTAGATGAGTGAAATTTATTTTTGGTAAGCATTTACCGTGAAATAAATTCATAACTCATTATTGCATTGCCATCTCAATACAAACAATAGATTATTTGAACATCCTGACAGCAGTTAGTATTGGAATTTCTATGGAGGAAAATCATCTTTAAATATGATGACGATGATGTTTAAAGCAATGAGTTTAGAAAAGTTTGGAGGTGATTCTCACTGTGTTACTTTGAGTCAGTCAACCATTTTATTCTACAAAAACTGTTGTTGTTGTTGTTACTGTCGCATTATTTAGAGCGAATTAAGAATTCTCCAACAGTAAAATATCATAGTATTTCTTAGGATAAGACCTAAAATTGTAAGTCAGATCATTAGCGTTCTAATATTTATGCTGATGTGCCTGATAGTGATTCCAACATTGAAATCTTTTTTTTCAGTTGACAGGAGATAAAGGCAAAAAATATGGAATTAAGGTTGTTATCATTAGCTTGAGAGGTGAACATTAGTTTTAAAAGAAGTTGGCTAAATACACTATAGTGATGAGTGATAGAGAATTTAAAACATTTTTAGTATTGCTTTAAGTGTAACCGTATTGTGATTATATGACGGTGTGGATAGAATAATCGAATTCTCTGCTTCTAGAATATTTCCACGATGTCCACACAATTGCTAAATTTTCATTCATTAACCGTAATTTTTGTTTCTTAATCCATGTTAGCTGGGCTCACCAGTACAGTCTTTATTACAAGACTAAATAAAGTTGTTTTCCTTTTTAGAACAACGGAAAACTGACAAGAGATATATATCCATATCATCAGAAAATGTTTTCGTCCGTGCTCGTGAGTGCTGCTGAAAAAATCATTTTGATTTTATTTCACCGACCTTTCAGTTTCTAGTGGGATGTAATCATTTAATTCCCCCAAAGAATAATTTTGCTTATATACTTTTTATACAAATCATCATTTATATTTAATATAACACACATATATAACAAGAATGATAGTTAAGTATTGAAAAGATGTACTCTACCTCTTGGTCTTCTACACCATGTTCGGTCGTATCCATCTGGATAATGTTTATTTCTGTGATATTATTATTATTATCATTATTATCCAGTTAAGTATAACAAGTAATTTTCAAATTAACTTCATCTCACATTTTGTGTAATCTTCCATGAGAAGCAGCTATTCTGAATATATCTGTAATCCGTTTTCATTTCCATATTTTTCTTCTATTGTCATGTTCCCAACAGTAGCTGTGACATTTATACTAAGATATATGAGTGAAAGTTGTGCAAATACGATTATTTTTTGTGTTAATGTTCATACTGAAATCAGCTATCAAAGAGGATTATTCAGTTGTGGAAAACTAGTGACTTTGTGTATTTGCGTATGATTGATTGGTGGTTTATTGTGATTTCGATTTGGGATGAAATTTTTCAATTTTATTTGGATGTAGGAGATCAGTATAAGTTGCTGCATCAATGATGGTTATGACTATTATCATTGTTGTCCATTGATTTCCGTGTGGAAGATACGGCGTCAGAATCACATCTGTATTTCACTGTCTTCCCTACAGTCCTTTTTAGCTGGGTGCAAAAACTTTTATCCCCTCCTCACATGATCTTCTCCATGTCACCTTCGGATGCACGCCTAATTCTTCGTTTTACATTCTATTTCCACTGGAAGGTGTGGAGTATGATGGCATACAATGGTTTTCTCAGTGTGTGTCTATTCCATTTCCTCCTGCATATTTTTTTGGGCGATAGGTTCTTGGTTGGTTTGCTCCCATAGCACCTTGTTCTTAATCATTTCTCGCCGTCTGATATCTGATGTCATCGACCGAACCAAATTCTTAATGAAATGCTTATCCTGGCTATATTCTTACTATAATTAACACCAGTTGTTAAGATGGACTAGTTTCATCTGATTCATTATGCACATAAACATCACTGGGAGCATTAATTGTTGAATTGGCCATTGGATCGGGTCCCACTGGTCACTTCTCGATTGGATTCCACTTGAGGGCCTGGCGCACGATGTCATTCGGCGGTTCCCTTAATGTGTGCTCGATCCATCTCCTTTTCTCTCCTGCATATTTCTTGCGCGACCGGCTCTTGGTTAGACGGTTGTTCCCACAGTTTCTTGTTACTAATTCTTTCTGGTGACTTGATCTTTAGTATGGACCGAAGGCTGTTGTTGGTAAAAGTCTGCCACAAACTGTTGGAAATCCTGTTCGTGACACAGAGTGCAAATATTTGATCCGTATAGAACTGACTGGCTCTCACACTTGTGCTGAAAATCCGGTCTTGTTCTTTGTGCTGCTGAGAGCAGAAGATTTCCAAACTGGTTTCAGGTCGATGAAGGCGTATCCTACCTTTCCGATTCTGCCTGGTCAGCTTTGACATCTTTGTCCGTTCCGCCTGTGGTTGATACGATGCCTCGTAGATAATTGAAGGAGGTAATCTCTGTGAAATCTCTCCCCTTGATGGTAATTCGTACTGATTGTTGTTGCTGTTGGTTGGTCGTCTTCATTTCCTCCGTCTTTTCTGTGTTCACCTAGAGTCCTGTCTTCACTACCAGCCTCTTCAGCCAATTTGTTGGTTTTCGGTTGCAAGTCTTAGAGTTTGTGTGACATTGAACATAAATCATCCATCCGTGAAATCCAAATCCTCTAGTGTCTTCTTATCGGTCCAGTGTATTCTGTGTTCTCACTCCCGATGCACAGTCTGACGCATAATCCAGTCCGCCACAATAAGAATATCATCGGAAATAACAGGCAGCCAGCTTGTCTTACTCCTGTATTCACTTCAAGGGCTTTGCTGAGTTTTCTGTTGTGGATCAATCATTTGACAAGTACCATTGTCATATGGCCAGCTGTTGAATGAGTTTGATAAAGATAAGGGCACTGCACGCCGTATTGTTGAAGTAGTTTCCAAATTACTTCTTGAACAACACTGTCGAAGGCATTTTCGAAATCGATGGAGCTGAGAAGGAGGTTTGGCCGCCATTCTATGCTTTGTCCGATGACGACGCATAGAGTTGCAATTTTATCAGCATATGATTTGCCTATTCTGAATCCAGGTTTTTATCGGCGGAGTTCTGCACTCAGAACAATTTTAAGTCTTTACGGAATAACGTGATATGGTATTTTACGCAGCGTGGACAAGAGTATGATTCCATGCCAGTTCATGTGCAGACCTAAGTCACCTTTCTTTGTCAGCTTGACAAGATAGCCTTTCTTTCAGTAAGTAGGCAATTACATTCCTTGCAAACATTTTTCAATAATGGCGTCAGCACATCTGCCACAGTCTATGGTTCTCTTTCTCTATGCTTGATGGGAAATTCCGTCTGGCCCTACTGCCTTGCCAACTGGACTTCAGTAGCTTAGTCGCATGCAGGATTTCTTCTTTGGTTGCAGGATTGGTGTCCACCCGCAGTTAAGTGCGTGCCGTCGGTAGTGTTTCTGGATGAGTTGTAGTTGGTGGTCGATCCAAGAGTCCTTTGAAGTGATCAGCACATTGTTTTATTCGTCTCTCCTCTTTTGTTGACAGGTTCTCTTGTCCATCTCTTATAGGTGTCATCATCTGAGTTGATCTCTTCTTGGAAAGAGGCCTGGTTATCTGACATAATGTTCTGAGGTCTCTTTTGCCTATGGCCAGGCTGTTCTGCTTCATTTCCCGGTCAGTTTGTCGTTTGTATTTCCTATCACTAATCTTCACTTCTTTATTCAGTGGGATGTACACTGAACTCTCAGCTGCTTCTTCTGTTGTCCATCTTTGCATTGGTCCATCCTCTGTTTCACCATTTTCCTCTCTTCTATTAGCTTCCACGTATCCATTGAGAGCCAATTCTTGTTTGACTCTTCTTTCTTCCTGAGACAGTTGTATGGGTTTCTTTGAGCATCACCTTCACAGAATTGGTTCCAATATTCTCCTACACAGTTTCTTCAGTGATGCCAAGTAGTGCCTCTGATAGCTTCAGTGAATGTGTCTTTCGTAGTTTCGTCCTTCAGTTTTTGAGTGTTGAACTTGAATCGCCGTCTGTTTACAGTTTCTTTGACGGCTTTCAGCGTGACCTTGAAAGTGCCTTGCACTAGGCGATTGTCTTGGCCAATACTTGCCCTTCTTCTCGATGTTGTGTGCAGTAGACTGCGTCTCCACTTCCTTGAGATTGAGATCAGGTCTATCTGGTTCTAGGTGTGTCCATCGGATGAGATCCACGTTGCCTTGTGTATATACATGTGCTTGTTCACACTGCCTCCGATCACCAAATCATTGAAGCCTCAGAAGTCTGAGAGGAGTTTTCCATGCTCATTCGTTTCGCTGGGAGCCTCTCGACTCATGATTAGTCCACCTCCTGTATTGTCTGATCCCAATTTGGCATTCATGTTGCCCATAAGGTTTCGAAGTCATCATTTGAGATGTTGTTCATTAATGTTCGTAGTTGTATATAGAGACTTTCCTTCTCCTCTTGTTCTGAGTGTTTTTTAGGCGCGTAGAACTGGATAATTGTTTCCTTCATTCCTTTTGAGTTGAATCTTGCCGTTACTATTCTGAAAGAGATTGATCCCCGCCGCATAAAAGTTTTTACTGCTGTTGGGGAAATCATGATGGCCACTCTGTCAGTGTGCATGTCTGAGTGACCGGAATAGATCACTGACTCTCCAGTTGACAATTTCGATAGTTCAAATCCATTCCATCTGCTCTTACAGGATCCTAGCGTTCTTATGCTATTCCTCCTAACTCCTTTGGCAATCTGACCAGACGTTTTAGCCTCGTACACTGTACGGACACTTAACATCCCGACGCTTAATTTTGCTTTTATCAAAGAAAGACACATCGTTTGACTAGTCTGCACAATGCCTTCACCAGCCTTCTTTATTCTTTTCATGTGATTGCAGCGTAATGTAATTTTTTGGTATTATTGTTTTGCTTTAGAAGGATAGCTGGACTAGTTACACATAAGACTGTTTCGCTGTCTGATTTTTATCATATGAAGTCGTTGTTATATGAGGTTATATGACACTATTCAAAATTGAATTATAGTCATTCAGGCATTAGTTTTCGCTTACTAACCTTCTGTACTATTTTCATAGTTATTCATTCTCTGGCTACTTTATTTAATTTCTTCAGTTCATTGCAACTACAGGGCATACCTTCTTTTATACAAATGATGTCATGTTGAAATCTAAAAACTGTGGTTATTTGTTACTGTAGCTAGTGTCTATAAAATGTTATCCTTGATTATATTAGATAGTTGTAGGTAATCGGCAGGAAGCCTTGGACCTAGGTATCGTGCTAGTTGGCACTCATCTGAGAGGCGTATCTATAACCTTGAAGAAACTCATGTCCTTTCTGAAATTTGAACCCGCGTCACCCAGGCTGCAGTTAGAGACGTTACCGCTGAGCTATTCGGGCTCGCGATTGACCTCCTGTAGAACTGTAGAGCATATTTTGATTGGACACTAGTCACTAAAGTGACGTGTCTAGTGATTTCTTTGGTGCAGACTAAATTCTCTCAGTCAGGTTTTGCATTATGGACACCATTCTAGGTAGCTCGCCATCACGTTACACATTGATGAGACGTCTAAAGACCGAATGCCTTCAAAATTGCTTTGTAATATAGTAAATTTTGGAAGTTCAGTGTATCTTTACGTAACTTAGTTACCTTTATTTCATAGTTGTGGCCAAACATTTTCTGAGAACCAAGTAAACTGTTATATTTTTTAAGTTCTGTAGATATGACTAGTGACATGTAACTGTTCGAAACACTATATATATATATATATATATATATATATATATATATATGGTTGTTGTGATCTTTGAGATGGATAGTTTAATTACGAGGAGTTCATGATTCGTATGGACAACAACTTCGGTGCTAACTTCAACGGGGATTCCCTATCCTGGAAAAATTACTCTTTTGTATTGACCTTTACTGTGATTCTACACAGATTTCCTTACGATCGTGTCCACATATACTGAGATTGATCCTCTTTTTCACCTAATATATGGGCCAGTTTGCTATGACTTATTAGTAATGTATTGGTGAATTCGCTCTATGAATTCCACTTTTGTGCTAAACGACTGGGTCGTTGAAGGTAAGTAAAAAAACGGAATCAATATACATAAACGAAGAAACAAGTTTTAATAAAGAAGGATTTTAATTAGGTGATCAAATTTCTGTAGAATCCACTACATGACAAAATAAAACGAGTTAAGAAAGGACGTCAGAGTAAGACAAAGGCAAATAGATTAATACTTGTAACAATGTTAATATTGATAATACGTAGTTTTAACCTAGAGACAGTGAAATACTACCATGGTGGATTCAAATCTCTTTCTTAGGACAGTGGAGCCTGGTTAAAGGTTTAAATGCGTAGGCCTATGTGATTACAAGGATATTTTCACCTATCTGTCTTCTGCCTGCGGTAAGTTATTTGAAAGAGTCCGGAAAAATTTTAATTACTGAGACGTTTTTTATGTTTTCGTGTATCAACGGTTTAGGCAAGTAAACACCGAAATCTTTTACTATCTGCGTATTGGCTCTCACATGTCCACCTGAAGAGACTCTTTTCAACGAATTTATTATCAAGCTGTACAATTGTATATATATGGTGCGAAGCTCTTTTCTGGAACATCTGATTGACTTCTGTCACTCGGTCAACCCTGACCATTATTTCAAGATCATATATAGAATCCATGCTAACTCCCCGCGTTTCCTTCGTTACAGACTTCTGAAGACAGCTGAGGCCTTGGCAGTTCATGACTTTAAGCCAGATCTTTGTGTACAAAAGAAGTATGTACAATCCCTACTTCTGCCTTGGCCGTAGGGGGATAGGCATTTATTTATTTATTTTGTTCGTTTGGTTATTCTATGTGCTTTTCGCTTATCACTACGATTATCATTATTGTTATTATTATCATTATTATTACTATTCTCACTCTGAATCTTTTCCACTTGACCCACTTGTCATTTTAAGCCCAAAATTAATTTTTATATATTTTGTTTTTACAATATTGAATTCTATCTTATCAAATTTCACACCATGTTGTGTAACATTTTATATTCGTCTACGAATCTTATAATTATGTACCCCTTTCCAAAATCCATACGCCTTATGTATAATTCTATATATATATATATATATATATATATATATATATATATATCACTC